TTTCCCCTTATCAATCTACACACAATACCCCATAATGACAAAGCAAAACACAGGTTTTTAGAAATGTTTGCTTAAAAAAACTGAAATATCACATTTACATAAGTATTCAGACACTTTCCTCAGTACTTTGTTGAAGCACCTTTAGCAGCGATTACAGCCTCGAGTCTTCTTGGCTATGACGCTACAAGCTTGGCACAACTGTATTTGGGGTGTTTCTCCCATTCTTCTCTGCAGATCCTCTCAAGCTCTGTCAGGTTGGATGGGGAGCGTCGCTGCACAGCTATTTTCAGGTCTCTCCAGAGATGTTAGATTGGGTTCGAGTCCGGGTTCTGGCTGGGCCCCTCAAGGACATTCAGAGACTTGTCCCGAAGCCACTCCTGCGTTGTCTTGGCTATGTGCTTAGGGTCGTTCTCCTGTTGGAAGGTCCTGAACGCTCTGGAGCAGGTTTTCATCAAGGACTCTGTACTTTGCTCCATTCATCTTTCCCTCAACCCTGACTGGTCTCCCAGTCCCTGCCGCTGAAAAACATCCCCATAGCATGATGCTGCCACCACCATGCTTCACCGTAGGGATGGTGCCAGGTTTCCTCCAGATGTGACGCTTGGCATTCAGGCCAAAGAGTTCAATCTTGGTTTCATCAGACCAGAGAATCTTGTTTATCATGGTCTGAGAGTCCTTTAGGTGCCTTTTGGCAAAGTCCAAGCGGGCTGTCATGTGCCTTCTACTGAGGAGTGGCTTCCGTCTGGCCACTCTACCATAAAGGCCTGATTGGTGGAGTCTGCAGAGGTGGTTGTCCTTCTGGAAGGTTCTCCCATCTCCACAGAGGAACTCTGGAGCTTTGTCAGAGTGACCATCAGGTTCTTGACCAAGGCCCTTCTCCCCCAATTGCTCAGTTTGGCCGGGCGGCCAGCTCTTGGAAGTTTCTTAGTGGTTCCAAACTTCTTCCATTTAAGAATGATGGAGGCCACTGTGTTCTTGGGGACCTTCAGTGCTGCAGATATTTTTTGGTACCCTTCCCCTGATCTGTGCCTCGACACAATCCTGTCTCGGCGTTCTAAAGAACAATTGCACTGTCAACTGTGGGACCTTATATAGACAGGTGTGTGCCTTTCCAAATCATGTCCAATCAATTGAATTTACAACAGGTGGACTCCAATCAAGTTGTAGAAACATCTCAAGGATGATCAATGGAAACAGGATGCACCTGAGCTCAAGTTTGAGTCTCATAGCGAAGGGTCTGAATACTTATGTAAATAAGGTACTTATGTTGTTTTTTTAAATGATAAATTAGCAAACATTTCTAAAAACCTGTTTTGCTTTGTCTTTATGGGGTATTGTGTGTAGATTGATGAGGATTTCTATTTATTTAATCCATTTTAGAATAAGGGTGTAACGTAACAAACTGTGGAAAAAGGGAAGGGGTCTGAATACTTTCCGAATGCACTGTAGCAGACAGAGGTAAAATTAGTTTTATATTGGATAGTCAGTGGATAATTGTTTTTCTCTCATCAATAGCTATTTAACCAAGAATGCCATGACTATGAAAATGATATTCTGAATCAGGGGTGGATGGAGAAAAATCCACACTTTTTCTTTTTAGAAATGTAGATTTGATTTATATTTCAGATTTCAATCTTCAATAGCTTATAAACAAAGCATGCCATGTCTATGGAAATTATATATTCTGAATCAGGGGAGGATAGAGAAAAATCCACACCATTTAGATTTTTTTTTTTGGGGGGGGGGGGGGGATTTCAATCTTTAATAGCTCAAACAATTGATTCAGAATATATAATTGTCATAGTCATGGCACGCTTTGTTTAAGAGCTATTGACGAGAGAAAACCGAATATCCACCAAATATCCAATATAAAACTAATTTTACCTCAGTATTTTGCAGACAGTTCTCTAGAACAACTGGGCTAGTTGGTGACTCTTAGAATTGAACATTCTTCATTTTATAGTCACTTTGATAGTCACCTAAGTTTGTTTGAAAATGAACTAATTCACATGTATGCAGTAAATCCATACCCAACAACAGGGAAATGGAGGGAGACCTCTGTCAAGCTTGCCTGGGAACAGCAGCAGTTTCGATGATAGGATTGATGACAAGATAACACTTTTGTAACAGACGTGATAAGATGCACAAATAAAACAATAGACTAGTATTTACAGTTATTGACTTTGAATGAATGGCACAACAGGTGTCAACCGTTTGAGAATACTGTAAGCATACTTTTTTTTGTACAAGTGACTGGCAACTGAAAGATTCAGCGTCCTCATCTGGTGGAAAGTAGCCATTGGCGGAATTTTGAGGCTGCATTACAGATCTCAATTAGTTGCAAGTTGCAATGCGTTTGGGCGTCATTCAAAGTGGAACTGACAGCGTTTTAGCAACATGAAATCTTCTTAAAATCTTTTCATATACACCCCCAGGAAGAATATGACGTAGTTAATTTTATTTTTTTACATTTTCTGAGAAGTGAGATCTTAGATATGGTCATTTTCACATTTTCATACTTTCATGGAATGTTTGGGAATTATGTGGAGTAAGGCATTTGTGAAAATTCTATAGCAATATAGAGTGGGAAAGCGGCCGTGCGGTTGGACAATTAATAGACACTGCAGGAAATAAAACCTAATAAAAAAAATTCAGTCTTGTCCAGGGCTGCGTTCAGTACATTTTTACATTTTGGTACGTTCAATTGAACGGAAACGGTGCTGCTCCTGAACGACCAGTTGACAAACTGGGAAGGGTTGGGTTGTGGGTTGGGGAACACTGTCAGCATGGCCACTGCCCTTTAAATACATTACTCATTGCTTCAACCCACACCTCGCCACACCCACCAAAGGGGAGCAAAAATACCTCAAAGTCTGTTCAAGAACGTACAATAATGTTTTTGGGAAACATGTCAATCCGTACAAACCGTTCCGCAACGTAGCAAACGTTCAAGCCAACTGAATGCACCTCAGCACCGGACTCTACACAGACCGGTGCGCCATAGTCAAGCAGAGCTACAGTAGGCTTATATGCAAACAAGCCATTTGGCCATCATTCACTTTGAACTGGACTGTGTGTTTGCAGGCAGTAACAACAGCACAACTTTAGATCATTAGAAAGCATTTGCCAAAAGCCACAAAATACACCTAAATCGATTTCTGCAAATATGTAAATACCACTTACATTTGGGAACTTTACAGTCCTATTGATCAAACAACCATGAACAGCACAGGAGGTTGGTGGCACCTTAATTGGGGAGGACGGGCTCGTGGTAATGGCTGGAGCTGAATAAGTGGAATGGTATCAAATACATAAAACACATGGTTTCCATGTGTTTGATGCCATTTCATTTGCTCCGTTCCAGCCATTATTATGAGCCGTCCTCCCCTCAGCAGCCTCCACTGATGAACAGGTAGGCTCTCTCTCCCTCAGTTTTCTATGCACATCAACAACAACAAGATCAACAACTAATGTTAGCCAGAGCGAGATCAGCTAAAATCTAACGAGAGAACAGTAGATAAACCCTCTGAAACATTTTTAGCCTGTAGTTGGCCGTCAAAATTGCACTGATTAACGATGGGGAATAGTAGCCTATTTGGCCTTCTGCAGCTTGCCTGCCAATGCATGCTTGTCCCAACCAATAATGTGTATAAACCCTGGTTGACAAAATAGGGAGCGCTGTATTGAAGCCACCGCGCAGCCATCTTGATACTCCTCCTGAAGTGTAAGAAATATTTTTGAAGCTATAAAAATGCATTTATTAATGTCTACATTCGTTTCTGATACATTTATTATATTACAGCCACTTGAATGCATACTTTTAAATTATATTATGTGAGCTAAACATAAAACATAAATACAAAAATATAAAATACATTTTCCTTAAAGTATTTTTGGGGGGAGAGTACTAATGTTACTGCCCCCACTACAACAAGAAAATACTTAAATACATGTAATTTTGTCCTTGAAACAATTAATTGAAATAGAATTCCATTCATTCCTATGGAGGACAGCTCCTACTAGGGAGTGCCAATATGGCCGACTGGTGGCTTCAAAGCCTCTCAATGGCCAATACATAGCGTCAGCAACACAGGGTTTATATACATCAATGGTCCCAACCCACGTTTTGACAAATGAATGGGAACTTGCCTGCCCTCCCATTTGATCGATGCAAAATACATTTAATTGACAACTAAGAGATATGCTAACTGTGGATAACAGTAGTTGAAGTTCAGCATAGCTAACTAGCAAAGTGATTCACATTTCTTGCTAGCTAACCACATGACACCTGCATCTCTAGTTGTAGCCACCGAAAAACGATATGGGGGGAAAGTCGGCCAGTCATCCTCCATGCAGTTTGCTAGCTAGCTAACGTTAGGTTCCGTGTTTTTTATCTTGCTAAATAAATAGAGACGCTAGCATATAAACCACGTTATGACTGACTTGTGGTCATTGCCCCTGCTAGTTTGATTATATTGACATTGCCAGGCTAGTTACATTCGTCCGTTTTTGTCCAAAATATTGAGTCATTGAAACAGTGCATCCCAGAAGGGATGGAGGCAGCAAATCTTACCAGGCCAGCTGTGATTTACAACCCAATAGCAATATTGTTGGACTACCAAGAAATGTATTGGTGAATGAGCTCTATTAATCAGGCATTGAATTGAATCCATCCATTCGGCCAACAATGCCTTACTCTATGTCATGGAATTTTGAGCGAAATATAACCTATTTTAAAACCTCTTATAAAGTTGGTTTTGTAGCATAAACTGGGAATTTGATATTTTTTACTGATATTATGATTGTCTGTTTGTTTCATATCTGCAAAGTAGTTCAAACGCTGTCTGTTCCAGTTTAAGATTTTACAGTAAATTGATTAAGACCAAAATGCTTGACCAAAATTGATATTTTAGTTTTATGCTCTATGAAGTGTCCAGCCAACGTTGCAGAACTGTTTACTGTAGTTGACTTGAATGCGACTCAGTACTCTTGTGTTTACAATGGTGTCCGTTGGTAAGTAGCGTAGCTAGCTAGCAAATCGGGTATACTAGTGTAGCTATTACTTACTCATTGCTCTCTATCAGTCCTCAATTATTTTATTAGTCACACAAATGAAACCGAGCAGGCTTGATTGCTTATTTAGTGAAGTTGAAGCCGATAACTGTGATTACAAGAGAAAACGAGTTAGCGTTAGCTAGGGCTTTGCTAGACAGCTTCCGGGTAGCATTAGCTAGCTAGAAAAGGAAAGTCAAAAGTTAGTAACTTGTAGCTAGCCTTCAATCAATGTATAAAAGAGTTTGAATATATTTACATGATTGTAAAATTCTCACGTTTTGAACAGTTCAACAGACCTGATATAAGGCAGACTATGGCTAGTGTTTTAATGGGGAAAGTGGGGAAACATGTATGTGTAACATCTGTTGTGTAAAATACATCGTGAGCAAATGTGATAAACTAGAGAGCTTTATTACATTTACATTTTAGTCATTTAGCAGACGCTCTTATCCAGAGCGACTTACATGAGCAATTAGGGTTAAGTGCCTTGCTTAAGGGCACATCGACAGATTTTTCACCTAGTCGGCTCGGGGATTAGAACCAGCGACCTTTCGGTTACTGGCACAACGCTCTTACCCACTAAGCTACCTGCCGCCCTTTATCTTTTTCTACTCTCACTTTTCTGGCCATAATATAATAATTGGGTGGTTGTTGGCAGTGCACATAGGCATTGTTGTTTGTCCAACATGGGTACCATTATCAACTGAAATTGTGTTTATCATAAACTCAGAATTAACTGTTTGAATCCAATTTAATTAAAACAGATGATTGACAGACATTTCCTTTCCAGTGGAGGTACTATGCCTCCTGCTGGTAGCTGTGCTGTGGGGCTGCACCAACCCATTTCTGAAGAGGGGCACAGAGGGGATTGAACATGTGAAAAAGGAAAACAAGTTTCATCAGTTCCTGGCGGAGGTTAAGTTCCTGTTTTTAAACATCAAGGTAAATTGACATCTGTATTTGGAGAGGGACTAAAACTTTTTCATTTAGGCCTATAGTCTTAATTGATGCAAATACACTTTCCATGTTTTTCCTGTTACCTATAGCAGATGTAGCCTATAACAACATGTCTCTTTACATTTGCAGTACCTGATACCATTCCTACTGAATCAGAGCGGGTCCTTGGTGTACTACTTCACTCTTGCCACCACAGGTTAGCTACATCTTACTACTAAGACATGTTGAACTACAGTATGACTGTTTTACACACCGACTGCTCACAATCTCATCATCCTCAGGTTTCTCTTATCTCAAAATCACATGATTGACAGACATTGATGCCATTCACCCTGTTCTAGGGTGTTGGGTGAAGTTGCCCCTAGATGCTGATATTTCTTCCTCACCCTTTTTACCCCTCCTCCTCCCCTCGTACAGATCTGTCTCTGGCTGTGCCCGTGGCCAACTCCCTCACCTTCCTCTTCACCATGCTCACTGGGAAGCTGCTCGGGGAGGAGTTTGGAGGGAGAAGTAAGTGTTGCATGGTTGTGATGTCACCGCTCTCCAAACATAATGGCACACATTCTACAACATTGCCATCGCTCTCAGGGCTGTTTGGTTAGCCTTAACACACATTGCATTGAGAATGGTCTCATTTTTCACATGCTGTCTCTGTGTGTTTGTTTGTTTGTTGCAGGAGCTGTTGGAGGAATGGTCCTCACCATGGTGGGCATCACTCTATGCGTAGTGAGCTCCATCAGTGAGACTGAGAGCACGGGGCAGCAGAATGGCACAAAGGTCTCACCATAGAAATAGATACTGTATCAGCACAGTACTGTATATCTCTATGGGTCTCGCTCTAAAAAAAGATGACTGGACACATTTTAACAAAGGTTCTATCGCATACCACCTAGTTCAACTTATTGTTTCGTGTCTAGGGTACTTTCCATAGGCTTAGTTATGTCTTCAATGGAAGTGACTTTATGCTACATAACATACTTCTTCAACTACAGCAGTGTTTAGGCTATTCAAAGGGACCAAAGTGTATCGCTGTAGAACACAACATTTTGTAACAGAGAATGAAAATGAGCGCTTCTTATTGGACAAGTTCAAGTAGTAAGCTACTTCCCCAGTCCCCGTTTCAAAACGCTTTCTCCCTACTGGACACAATCCTGACCTATGCCAGCCAGGCAGTAGAGTGACTGGACAATATGTAGAAGAGAATGCAAATGAGCTTAGTAGGAACTCATCATGCACAGTGTTGTGGCTCCCACACCTTATAACAACTGTGACACAAAGTTCAAGTAGGGTTAATTCCAGCCGGGGTCCAGATTTATTGCCTATCTAGTTCAAGCCGAGCCAGCCATTCTTGCCGCTTTGCTGCCATGTTGTGTGAATGCTGCCCATAGAAACACTAGGCTATAGGCCTATAGAAGACCACAGTCAATGTGTTATTGTTGAAAACAGACACTAGAGTTCACGTCTTGAAATCAAAGTGCTGCTACTGTATATCATGTTCAGAGAAACAGTTATTACATTGTAATGTCTTAATGAAACTACAAAGGCGTTCCGTGCAAGGTGATATGTTGAGAATGGGAAAAACTGTAGTCTGTTTGCTGTTGAATTGCACTTTTTATTCAGAAATAATGGCATTTAAACCAAAATGCTTGTACTGTACAATCAGAGGACTTTGCTGTTTTTGTAAGATATAAAATATTTCATATTGTATATTTCCATTTGATATTTCCAAGTATATTTTGATGAAGAGGAATTCTTTACATTCAGTGAATATGTTCATAACTGTATAATACAGAAGCCTATGGCCTACTTGTTCTCTTACTGTCTCAAAAATAATGTTTCCTATTTACAGTAGGTTTGCCGCTTTCCATTAAAGTAAAGCATTGAGCATCATTAACATTCATTTTTTAATAAACAGTGTCAGTACCACATTATTTCCTGCAAAATATGTCAATCTCATAATGAATACATTCACATTTTGTATTCTCAGTTTGCTAATAAAAACAATAGATAGTGCTAAAGGTAGACTATATAATCCATGATGTTTTGTTACTATGCTCATTATTAGAGCTGTGTGTCATTCTGATGTTGTGATCTTGGGGGGGGGGTTGACTGTTGGCTGTTCCATTACAGTGTCTGGCGGGGGGGTACGAGGTCTCCCTAGGTAGAATAAACCAATCAGACAGGGCCATAATATATTGTATTTTAAACAGCTCTAGTTTTAAAGTGATTTTATATACAATGATGATCATTCAAATCGAGCCTGATCGAAGACTTTCCCTGTCTCCTTGGATCCCCCTGCTTTTCCGAAAACTCTGAGATGCGGAGGACGATGATGAAGAAGAAGCCCTTGAGTGTCGAGTGGCCAGCTTTGGCTCCGTCACTGGCTCCTTGAATAGGGGTGAGTGGGTGAGTGTACAGACAGAATTCATTTCTAGTGATTGAGTGTGTTTTTCTACGTATTTATGTACTGAATAACAAGTGTGTATGTCTGTGTCTATCTGTGTGTGTCTGTACCTTTGGTGCTTCAGTAGCAGACACACAACTCTCTAAGGCAGCGTCTTTGTCTTTGTAGACAGATGTGTTTGGCTCTGCGGTTGAATGCATCTCATTCTCCAGGGATGTGTTTGCCTTTTGTTAGAGGAAAAACATGTTTACCATGAAAAACATTTAGCCTTATTAAAACTGAGATCCGCATAAGGTGAAACAGCGCCACTGGTCGCCCCAGTTGCATTTGTTATTGTTTTTGAAGTAGAGGAGCGGTAAGTGTGGTAAAATACAATTGTAGTACATTCTCTGCTGTTCTATCGCGCTTGCAATGACGTCCGAGGGAAAAAAGTATTTGTTGTTGTAATATAGAAAATGGATGTGGCGTCACCACTACGGATTCCAGCTTTAATGTATCCAACATCTTCAGTGTGATAGTCTAGGAGTATATCAGTGAATGAGTATATCACACAAGAACACATATACTGTACAATACCCGTCAAAAGTTTGGACACACCTACTCATTCCAGGGTTTTTCTTTATTTTTACATTGTAGAATAATAGTGAAGGCATCAAAACTATGAAGTAACACATATGGAATCATGTAGTAACCAAAAAAGTGTTAAACAAATCAGAATATATTTGAGATTTGAGATTCTTCAAATTGCCACCCTTTGCCTTGATGACAGCCTTGCACACGCTACACATTCTCTCAACCAGCTTCAGAAATTGCAGCCCAAATAAATGCTTAATAGTGCTTAATATGCTTAATAGAGTTCAAGTAACAGACACATCTCAACATCAACTTTTCAGAGGGGACTGTGTGAATCAGGCCTTCATGGTCGAATTGATGCAAAGAAACCACTACTAAAGAACACCAGTAAGAAGAAGAGACCTGCTTGGGCCAAGAAACTCGAGCAATGGACATTAGACCGGTGGAAATTTGTCCTTTGGTCTGGAGTCCAAATTGGAGATTTTTGGTTCCAACCGCTGTGTCTTTGTGAGACGCTGTGTGGGTGAACGGATGATCTCCGCATGTGTATTTCCCACTGTAAAGCATGGAGGAGGAGGTGTTATGGTGTGGGGGTGCTTTGCTGGTGACACTGTCTGTGATTTATTTAGAATTCAAGGCACGCTTAACCAGCATAGCTACCACAGCATTTTACAGCGATATGCCATCCCATCTGGTTTGGGCTTAGTGGGACTATCATTTGTTTTTCAACAGGACAGTGACCCAACACACATCCAGGCTGTGTAAGGGCTATTTTACCAAGAAGGAGAGTGATGGAGTGCTGCATCAGATGACCTGGCCTCCACAATCCCCCGACCTCAACCCAATTGAGATGGTTTGGGATGAGTTGGACCGCAGTGCTCAGCATATGTGGGAACTCCTTCAAGACTGTTGGAAAAGCATTCCAGGTGAAGCTGGTTGAGAGATTGCCAAGAGTGTGCAAAGCTGTCATCAAGGCAAAGGGTGGCTATTTGAAGAATCTGAAATTTAAAATATATTTTGATTTGTTTTAAAAAAAAAATGTTTACTACATGATTCCATGTGTTATTTCATAGTTTTGATGTCTTCACTATTATTCTACAACGTAAATAATTGTAAAAATAAAGAAAAACCCTGGAATGAGTAGGTGTGTCCAAACTTTTGACTGGTAGTGTATATACACACACACACACACACACACACACACACACACACACACACACACACACACACACACACACACACACCTGATCACTGTCGTCTGTGTGATCTGGCTCAACCAACACCTCATTTTCCACAGTCTCTACCTTTCTCTGTAAAAACATTAAGCATTAATGTATCCATTATCTTCTATACTCATTCAGAGTGAATTAGTATATCCCTCTTTCTCACACGCTCATCACTGTTGATGACGTTTAAGGGTTGATTGATTGATTATCTACCTACAGACAGACTTGCAAGGTGAGCCCTAAAGTAACAAAAGGTACTCTATGTTCTATTTTCTTAATTGCACTTTACATAATGAATGAAATCTTTCTCTACCTGTGGTGCTTTTGTGTCAGGCTTAGGGGTCCCATTGACAGCATCCTCTTTGCAGATTGAAGAGCTGGCATTTGCAGGTGAGTTCCTGTCTTGCTCAGTCGATGTTTCCACCTTTGTGATAGGAAGACAATCACAATTGTTTGAGTGGTTCTATCATCTAACAGCATCTCTCAGTAGTGTAGCAATGTTGAGAATGATTTGCCAAATCATGAGTGATGTTCATCGACCAGACACACCTTGTCTGGGTCTTTTGGGGGGGGAGGGGGATCTTTTTCACAGAACTTCTTACCCACTGTAGCCTTGGTCAAAATCTAGAGGAGAAAAATACAAAGAACCTCTTGTAGTCTCAATCCTTTCACACTAATAACAACCATACAACCGGGCGTGAATAAACATGCATTTAACAAAGACTGTTACTTTAATCCCTATGAGCACAAGACGTTGAAAATACATATTTTTGGTTCAAAAAAACATTGAAGAGAAGTCATTTGAACATCTTGTGTTCACTGGGATAAAACCTCATGTTACTCAAGGAATAAAGTGATCCCAGACAGAAACACACCTGATCTCTGCTGTTGGAATGAGGAGGATCTCTGCCAATTAGGCCCTCATCCTCCACTCTCTCTGCCACTCTCTAAAAGATAGACACAACAACACATATTCCAGTTTGCTAAACTATAAACCAGACCAACAAACCTTACATATACTGAACAAAAATATAAATGCAACATGAAAACATTTCTACAATTTTACTGAGTTACAGTTTATATAAAGAAATCTGTCAATTGAAATAAATTAATTAGGCCCTAGTCTATGGATTTCACATGACTGGGAATACATACAGTATTTGCATCTGTTGGTCACAGATACCTTTAAAAAAAAAAAGGGGCAAGGATCAGAACACCCAGTCACTATCTGGTGTGACCACCATTTGCCTCATGCATTACGAAACATCTCCTTTGCATAGTTGATCAGGCTGTTGATTGTGGCCTGTGGAATGTTGTCCAACTCCTCTACAATGGCTGTACGAAGTTGCTGGATATTGGCAGGAACTGGAAAACGCTGTCGTACACGTCGATCCAGAGCATCCCAAACATGCTCAATGGGTGACATTTCTGGTGAGTATGCAGGCCATGGAAGAACTGGGACATTTTCAGCTTCCAGGAATTGTGTACAGATCTTTGCGACATGGGGCCGTGCCATGCATTATCATGCTGAAACATGAGGTGATGGAGGTGGATGAATGACACGACAATGGGTCTCAGGATCTCATCACGGTATCTCTGTGTATTCAAATTGCCATTGATCAAATGCAATTGTGTTTGTTGTCCATAGCTTATGCCTGCCCATACCATAACCCCACCGCTACCATGGGGCACTCTGTTCACAATGTTGACATCAAAAAACCGCTAGCCCAAACCACGCCATACATGTGGTTTGCGGTTGTTAGGCCGGTTGGACGTACTGTCAAATTCTCTAAAACTACGTTCGAGGCGGCTTATGGTAGAGAAATGAACATTCAATTCTCTGGCAACAGCTCTGGTGGACATTCCTGCAGTCAGCATGCCAAGTGCACACTCCCTCAAAACTTGAGACATCTGTGGCATTGTGTTGTGTGACAAAACTGCACATTTTAGAGTGGCCTTTTATTGTCCCCAGCACAAGGTTCACCTGTGTAATGATCATGCTATTTAATCAGCTTCTTGATATGCCACACCTGTCAGGTGGATGGATTATCTTGGCAAAGGAGAAATGCTCACTAACAGGGATGTAAACAAATTTGTGCACAACATTTGAGAGAAATAAGCTTATTGTGCATATGGAAAATCTTTTAATCTTTTATTTCAGCTCATAAAACATGGGACCAACACTTTACATGTTGCGTTTATATTTTTGTTCATACGTTATTTCACGGAGATAAGTGAAACATGGTCCTATTGCACTGCTTAAGGACCAGGGAAGAAAGAACAGTTCAAACTTGTCCCCAGAGGGAAATGTAGTTGCAGGCAGGGGTAACAGTTTAAAAAACACACATAGTACATAGATTGTTTTTTTCAGGCAATAGAGTGCATGTGAAAATCAGATAGGGGGTACTGGACCATTGAATTCCCTATCCCTACCGGGGCCAAGTGTTTAACATGTTTTAGCCAGTGGGTACAAAGGAGTGCTTGTATCAGTTGCTTTTTAGTCTGGTTTCTATCTGGAACCTGAGGGTAGAAGTTGGAACTGGAGGGGGTGAGTGGAGGGGGTGGTTGCTGTCCTGGAATGGAGGACTTTGGGTAAGTAGGACAATCGAGTAGAGGAGAGGAAAAAGGTGTACCTGGTCAACAGGGAGATCGACTGCTGTGTTCTCATCCTCCAGCACCTCCTCAGCCCCCTGCACCTCCTCTCTCCTCCTCCGTACACATCCTTTGAACACACTGGCCTGGACTGCAATGCACACAAACACACACACACACACACACACACACACAGAGAGACACAAAAAGACATGAACGATCAATCATCGTAAATTTGTATAGACACAATCATGAATACAATATTTCACACTATGCCAGGGGTCTCATACATGCGGCCCAGGGGCCACATCATGCCCACAAGCTGCTTTCTTGTGGTTCCCCTTCTGATATCAAATTCTTATTCAAATCAGGCCCTCCGTGAGAACAGCATGACTGACACTGGCCCCCAGGTAATTTTAGTGTGTGTGTGTCTGTGCTCTTACCTGGTCCACTCCTTGGCGGAGGCCTAGGTTGGGCTCTGTTCCTCACTCGAACCTTCACTGGTCTGGCGTAGAATATAGAGCTCACCTCCTTCCTTGGTCTCCTTTGGATGGCTGGGAGTGCCGTCTCCCCCACTTCGTCCCCCGTTGACTTCACCCTCCGTCCGTCTGACTGGGACCACAACATCAGGGTCGTGTTCATTAGGCACCAAATGGAAGAAAACAGACTGAAACAGGGCGGGACTACCTGGACTAATTTCCGCTACATTTTCGCTACAGTGTTTCGACAGTACCTCTGGAGAGTCCAGGAGAGCAGAGTCACTGTATCTGTCCTCAGGGCCACTGGCTGCCTTCCTGCCCTGAACAAGACAAAGGGAGACAGGGTGTGGTCCTCTGTAGCTCAATTGGTAGAGCATGGCGCTTGTAACACCAGGGTAGTGGGTTCGATCCCTGGGACCACCCATATGTAAAAATGTATGCACACATGACTGTAAGTCGCTTTGGATAAAAGCGTCTGCTAAATGGCATATTATATTATATTATTACCTTTATTACCACGCTCAATTGTCCTACAGACTAAAATAAATATAAAATATTAGACAGTAGATATTAAGCAGAAAGTAGATTACCCCATATCTCCTTGACAACCTTCTAATTCCAGGGTAATTTCTGGAAATTAATGCAAAAGTGAAACTCATATAAAATAGAATTCAATATTTTCTTTTATTTAGAATAGAATACACACACTTCAATAATCCAGAGAGGAAATTGGTTGATTTAGTCTTGTCTGTCTAAAAGCTGTTCTATTGTCAGATTCTCTAACAATTTCTGTTAATGATAATTCCATCCATACCTCTCAGAGGCTTTAGGAACCAACATCTCCACGTAGGGAAGCTTCTTGAACCTCTCCGCTCCCACAGCCACGTAGTACTGTCCACTCTCCAGCTCATCTGCACTGGACACGGTCACACCCTCTAGAGTGCACAACCTGAGAGGTCGCAAGTTCAAGGGTCAGGGGTCACTAATGGGGTCAGAGAGACTCAGGGCTGTCCCAAGCATTTTGGGGGCCCTAAGTGAGATTTGGTTGGGGGCCACCCCCACCTTGCAGGCAAAACATTTTAGTGGCCCCCCTCTTGATGACGGAGAGAAACATTTACGATTGTAAACAAAATTTCCTGCAATTCTACACATTTTGCCATTTGGAGTAGAGAAATGTTGCAGTTTTAATTTCTGCAATTCTACACATTTTGCCATCGGGCGGAGAGAAGTTTAGCAATTTTATAACACATTTCATGCAATTCTTCTCATTTGCCATGGGTCAGAAAAAAAAGATTTACTTATCTGACATGGCTAATTGTTAGCTGACATGGCTAATTAACTGACGGTCAGTGACTGACATAACAAGAGAAAACCAATTTTTGAAATTCCAACTTGTGTATTCTACTATTCTGTTGCTTATGCCTGGAACCGGCCCTGGAGAGACTGTCATCTGTGTACCATTAGGTCATTAGACTGCCATTACCTGTAACAGGTCAAACATGCTGTGAGGGTGTGACAGCTGTGTAGTCCTATGTGATGCGTTTCTATGCTTGTGTGTATGGGTGCCTGTATGAGTACGTGTGGTGTGTGCATGTGTCTGACCTGCGCACGGCTCCAGTGCGTAAATTGGCTTTCTCTGTGACTAGACCGAGGATCTGATCCAGGTCGTGCTGCCAGGTCCTGGGAATGATGAACCGGAATGGCAAGCAGAGGAGATCTCCGTTGCGGAAAACACTGTAGAGGAACACACACAAATAAGTTGTATGTTTCTTTATGTAATGTGTGTACTATTTGAGATTATGAATGGGTGAGCAGGTTTAATAGGGAAACTCACTTTATGATACAGGGTAGAGGAATATACTTTCTCCATTTTGCTGACACATTCGGTCTGTGGAGTAATATTGCCTAGGACAAAAAGACAACAGAATACATTACAAATAAACTACAGCACTGTAGTTCTAGATAGATTTGTGAGTCAGAAAAAAAGAAAACGCAGAAATACAACCTCCTCCGAGTAGTGAATGCCAAATAATACAATTTGATAAACAATTATTAATATAGCAACTATCCCATTTGATATAATTTACCACCAGGTAGCCTAGCAGTTAAGAACGTTGGGCCAGTAACTGAAAGGTCGTTGGTTCAAATCTCGAGACGACTAGGTGAAAAATCAGTCGATGTGCCCTTGAGCAAGGCACTTAACCCTAATTGCTCCTGTAAGATGCTCTGGATAAGAGCGTCTGCTAAATGACTAAAATGTAAAATATCAATTGTATTAATTACAGAACAGAACATTCACCCACAGACATTTCACAATAAGCGGTTATCACTTATGGCCATGCACCCTTCAGTCAGAAGGCAGTGTCCATGGCAACACACATCATCATCCTGGCCAATAACACATCTACATAGACAGATTGAGTGCCCCACTTGAATGAGTATCTAAACAATATAGCCATTTTGTCCACAAAACTGACACTGACCTTACTATTAAGTCCAGAGGCTATTGAGGCAAGCCCTGTTAATATCACTCATTGTTTCTGACCACATAATATAACAATAAATCAATACTTAACACAAAACCCAGCCACTGCCAGATAATAATGTTTCCACTTTGATGTGGTACTATGCAACATGGTTGTTGTATTTAAACAGAGCGGTAGGTATGGGGCTGCTAGTGAGGGGCTGGGTACACATGTAGGATCTTAATTTGATTCATATTTTGTTGCGGCACAGCAGGAAATGCAAACTTGTAGTGTATTTTAGTTTTTAAAAGGCTTCTAAAGTTTGTAATTTCCATTTTGAAATTTCAGACTTGATTTGCCCTAATGAAAAATGTATCAACCCCAACAAAAAGTGGCATTAATTATAATCCACATACTAATTCACATTTCCTGTTGTTGCAGGATTATTTTCCTGCTGTTGCAAACTGGCTCAAACTAAGATCCTACATCTGTAGGCTGGGTATCAGGCCTGCCCAGGCATGTTCATAGCCCTGATAACACAGTGGCAAAACAACATCTGTGCCAACCCAAGTGTCACACAATTGCCTTTCTACTGTTTCATATTAACTCAGTGGTGTAGAGAAAGAATGCTGATGGGCAAGCTATGGTGGCCTTTCTGGTCCCAGTCAGATAATGGAGATTGATTTTTTCAGGATTACGATATTGCTCCAAAGCAGTACATGCTCCACAGCTGAAAATGAAATACATTCATATCTAGCTATCCAACCAATTGGACTGAATACAAAGCAAGCACTTTCCATTGTGCGAATGGCTATTGAGATGCTGCGCTTGAAATGGCCTTGTTTGACAAGCGTCCGTGCCACGTCCGAGAGTCCTTTGCATAATATTACCTCATCAAGACAAGATCTATCCTCCTTTGATATATGAATGTTTCCGATGATGAAGAGAGAGCTATTGAAATGGGCCAACAATTACCTAAGACACTGGGTGACAGCTTGAATACAGCACAGAACATTGATCTGTTATTGACTTGTGGTCTACAAGCTCTGTGAGTGTGTGTTGGTGCAGAAGACCATTACAGATTACATGTATCCAAAATTCTGTCCTGTGCTATTACTTTGGTCTATCATGATTGATGTCCACAGTGTCCAGTATTGTGACACGCAAAGCACATCCAAAACCAAACTTGTACATAATGAATCTGAAGTGTGGTCGAATAAATATGCAAATAGTGATACCGCTCGGTGAAAGAAAACCTGTTCTCTATTATGGTGCTTATTTTCATATTTGTCTTGGTACCAGTTCAGATCCACCTGATTTGAGTGGCTGTGTGATAATGTGACCATCCCCCTCAGAGCATTCCAGTGGCGAGTCCGAGATGGGTTAGGCATTGATTAATGAGTAATGGACTGTACCACTGACCCGACAGAGAGTCGCCACACACAGAAAACCATAATTGAACCTTACCTGAGCTCCTTCTCTGTGTACAGGCTGCTTCTTCAGCCCTGTGTTCAAATAACTGTATGGGAAAACCAAGAGACATGTTAAGGGTTCACATGTCATCACCAACGTTAACGAGACGTAGAATGCTTAACCCATGTCTGTATAAAATATTTGCATAATGGTTTACTGCCTTCATGTGTATTAGGCACACAATGCATACATCCCATTGGAAACATTAATTTTGACAAAATAATGTAACCTACTCTATCTAGACATTTACACACGTCATGGTAGACTTGGTAGACATATATGGTAAACATGAATAAATGAACCAATGCCATTGAACATACAGGTGTAGAATTAAGACCATTTCTAGAGAATTCATCATTCTGCCTGGTAGACTACTACTCACTCCAGCTTCTTGAACCTCTCAAAGCCTGCAGCCACGTACTGGGCCCCGGTCTGGAGGTCCTGCAGTTCCCTGACCCGGTGACCCTGCCGGGGGGTGTACAGGGTCCTCACGGCTAGTGGAGCCTGGATGCAGTGGGTCACGTCATTGAGGAATGCCTCCATGGTGGCCACCTGTCGATGGTTGACCACAAGCCTCCTGCCAGAGTAGAAGGGGTCACCGTTCCTGTAGACCATCACGCTCTTGACTGGAGGCAGGAGAGTTGCTGTCCCACTGGAAGCCATTTCTCCAGATGCTGTCTGTGTCCCCGTCTGCTCGGGGTCTACCACACCACCTCTCATACACTCAAACCTTAACCACCTTAGAAGGCTAGAAGAGTGTCAAAATGTTTGAATTAGAAGGTGAGACCCCCTTCTGTTGTTGTGTTCTGTGTGGTTGTCTCTCACAGCTCTGGACTCTCCCTCTCCTGTTTTCTCCGCTCTCTCTCACACACACTACTCTCTGGCGGCTGTGAGTATTTCCTGGTTGCCATGGCAGCAGGGCCAGCAGTGACTGGCTTTGTGGGCAAAACCGTCAGCAGCAACGAAGGACAACAAAAGAGGGAGAGTGGGGACAGTGTTGTAAGCTGAATAAATAAGATAAACCTCCTATGCATCGTCTTTTCAAAAACAAACATACAAAGCCTGTTGAATCTACAGGGTCAAATTCACAAGTAAAGCCTAATGCTAGTTCTGTAGTATGTACAACTGAAACAGTAGTTAAAGCTCAGGGATAACCCCTCTACAATAGAGGTTAATGCTCTGGGAGTTGACTCGAGGGACTAGGAACACCATTTCCATACGTGCATTTCAAACAGTCTCCCTTGCTTTACCTTTTATGGGCTGTCAAGAAAGCAGCTTTTGTGTTGACGATATCCACACAGACAAGAACAGTATGTTGAATAATACAACTGCACTTTAATGATTGTGTTGAGTATGTGGTCTCAATGGGAAATACGAGCTTGTGTGAATCACCTGAGATAAACTAAAGGCAGCAGGAATTCCCTTGAATCTCTCCCATAACTTGTTTGAAAACAATGGAGATCACCATAGTTATGCAGCGATGAAGACAATAGTAGTGACGTGAAGTAACATCACATGTAGCACTGATAGCAACAACATAAGGAAGCAACATCAAATGTAGCACTGATAGCAACAACATAAGGAAGTGACATCACATGTAGCACTGATAGCAACAACATAAGGAAGTAACATCACATGTAGCACTGATAGCAACAACATAAGGAAGCAACATCAAATGTAGCACTGATAGCAACAACGTAAGTATTATTATAAAAAAACATGTCGTCAATGGATACTTACAAACATAAACTTTATTAATAATATATGTTTCCCCAAACATTCACTCTGTGCCACTCATACACATCTTGAATAAATACCCCAAAAATGTGATACATAAATAATCAGATACCAAATAAATTAATCTAGCTATCCCCGACCGGGAGGGGTATCATTTAATTTATCCTTACATAATTTCATTTATCAACATGGGGAAAGATTCAGTCCTACAAATCAATGTCCAGTTTAGAGCAACATCCTCTCCTTGGTCCTCTGCCATTAGGACATATTCAGTCTCTCTTTCAGTGACAGGTACTGAGAGCAAGAGAAAGAGAAAGAGAGACAGAGAGAGAGACACAGAGAGAGAGAGAGAGAGACAGAGAGAGAGAGAGAGAGACAGAGAGAGAGAGAGAGAGAGAGAGAGAGAGAGAATGTAATTGTTAACCTTGCATTGAATATTGGTCTTATTCTTCAACACAATCAATGAAAACGATGCGACAATGACATAATATTAGAGAAAACGGCTTTCACTTTTTTACGGCTGGCAATAGCTTGTTGAAGCCACAGCATCTCCATGGTCAGAGTGTTCCTGTGTAGCTGCAAGGCTTCAGGGGTATGGGGCACGTCCTGGGCCAGACTACGCCACTGCTGGGAACCTGGGAAAGGCCAGACACGTTCAGAGCAAGTCATTAACTTACATGACCTAAAAACAATTAGTATAACGTTTCTAAAAACAAGCATCAGAGAGAGAAAGATCTTTCAAATCTTTGGATTCACACACACACAAATCTGTGTACGCGACCAATAAACTTTGATTTGATCCACGCACACTTTACCTTTCTGAAAACGACCATAGCTCACATCTAGACCCAGACTGCTCCAGACAGTGGTCGCACCCCCTGTGCTCTCCAGCATGCATCCTCCATCCAGCAGCTCCCCCTGACTGCTCTCAGTCTCCCCCTCACCCCCAGGTGGAAAAGAAGGAGGACTGGAGGAGCCCCTGGAGATGGATGCTAGTCCATGGCTGTGGGGGTCGTCTCTCTCTGGTTCTATCCTATCTGACATAAGCTGTGCCCCTTTTCTCTCCCCTGGCTGCTCCAGAGGATGGCTTCCCCTGTCTGGTGCTTCTTCCGCATGTTTTTTGGTGAAGATACCAGAGTTTTGCAATGGGCTTTCCTGTATGGTAGAGTACAATAACATTTGTTAGATACACAAACTGTGCAGAAAATGACAAGCAGAACTTATGGTCTTCGAGAGAAGGGCAAACTCATCAAGGACTTCAGCCACCTGAGCCACGGCTTGTTCACCCCGCTACCATCTAGAAGGTGGAGACAGTACAGGTGCATCAAAGCTGGGACCGAGAGGTTGAAAAACAGCTTCTATTTTCAGGCCATCCGACTGTTAAATAGTCACCAATAGCCAGCCTCCGCCCAGTACCCTGCCCTGAACTTTAGTCACTGTTACTAGCCGGCTACCACCCGGTACTCCACCCTTCACCTTAGAGACTGCTGCCCTATGTACATAGTCATTGAACACTGGTCACTTTAATAATGTTTACATATTGTTTTACCCACTTCATATGTATATACTGTATTCTAGTGAAGGCTCATCCTTTATAACTACTGCTGTACACACCTTTTCTATTCATATCCTGTCCATAATGTCTATACACACCATCATATACATATTTATATTCCGGACTCTGACATGGCTCATTCTAATATTTCTATATTTCTTAGTTGCTTTTGTTTGTTTGTGTATTGTTTTGTATTGTTAGCTATTACTGCACTGTTGAATCTAGGAACATCCAGTGCATTCGTAAAGTATTCATAACCCTTGACTTTTTCCACATTTTGTTACGTTATAGCCTTATTCTAAAATGGATCAAAAAATAAATGAAAAATCTCATCAATCTACACACAATAACCCATAATGACAAAGCAAAATCAGACTTAGACATTTTTGCGAATGTATTAAATATAAAAAACTGAAATACCTTATTTACATAAGTATTCAGACCCTTTGCTATGAGACTTGAAAGGTGCATCCTGTTTCCATTGATCATCCTTGAGATGTTTCCACAACTTGATTGGAGTCCACCTGTGGTAAATTCAGTTCATTGAACATGATTTGGAAAGGCACACACCTGTCTATATAAGGTCCCACAGTTGACAGTGCATGTCAGAGCAAAAACCAAGCCATGGTGTCGAATGAATTGTCCGTAGAGCGCCGAGACAGGATTGTGTCTAGGCACAGATCTATGGAAGTGTACCAAAAAATGTCTGCAGCATTGAATTTCCCCAAGAACACCGTGGCCTCCATCATTTTTAAATGGAAGAAGTTTGGAACCACAAAGACTCTTGCTAGAGCTGGCCGCCCGGCCAAACTGCGCAATCGGGGGAGAAGGGCCTTGGTCAGGGAGGTGACCAAGAACCCAATGGTTACTCTGATAGAGCTCCAGAGTTCCTCTGTGGAGATGGTAGAACCTTCCAGAAGGACAACAATCTCTGCAGCACTCCACCAATCAGGCCTTTATGGTAGAGTGGACAGAAGGAAGCCACTCATCAGTAAAAGGCACATGACAGCCCACTTGGAGTTTACGAAAAGGCACCTAATTGACTCTCAGACCATGAGAAACAAGATTCTCTGGTCTGATGAAACCAAGATTGAACTCTTTGGCCTGAATGCCAAGCATCACGTCTGGAGGAAACCTGGCACCATCCCTACGGTGATACATAGCGGTGGCAGCATAATGCTGTGAGGATGTTTTTCAGCGGCAGGGACTGGGAGACTAGTCAGGATCGAGGGAAAGATGAATGGAGCAAAGTACAGAGAGATCCTTGATGATAACCTGTTCCAGAGCACTCAGGACCTCAGACTGGGGCGAACGGCCCTAAGCACACAGCCAAGACAACGCAGGAGTGGCTTCGGGACAAGTCTCTGAATGTCCTTGAGGGGCCCAGCTAGAGCCCGGACTTGAACCCTATCTAACATCTCTGGAGAGACCTGAAAATATCTGTGCAGCAACGCTCCCCATCCAAACTGACAGAGCTTGAGAGGATCTGCAGAGAAGAATGGGAGACACTCCCAAAATACAGGTGAGCCAAGCTTGTAGCATGATACCCAAGAAGACTCAAGGCTGTAATCACTGTCAAAGGTGCTTCAACAAAGTACTGAGTAAAGGGTCTGAATACTTGTGTAAATGTGATTTCAGTTTACTTTGTAATACATTTGCAAAAATGTCTAAACCTGTTTTTGCTTTGTCATTATCGAATAGTGTGTGTAGATTGATGAGGGAAAAAGTCAAGGGGTCTGAATACTTTACGAATGCACTGTAAGCGTTTCGCTACATCCGCGATTACATCTGCAAAATATGTGTACACGTCCAATAACATTTAGTTTGAAACCCTAAAATACTTACAATGTCTTTGAAGTGAGGAATGGCAATTATGTTCCCCTTCCAGTCTAAATGGTTCACGTCTCCGTCGATATCTCTCACAATGTCCTCAAACTCTGAACGCGCACAGTTGATCTCCTTTCTCACCAGATATCCACGAGCGTGTGCCTGGGGGATGAGGTGACCACTGTCTGTTAGTGTTAGCTACAAAACCTGGTGACATTAAACGTGTTAGCTAGTAGTAGTGTAGCAATTGACAACTGGAGCGGAGTTTGAACCAACAACCCTTCAGGAACAGGGAGAGCATATTACCACCTCTGCCATGAAGGTCCCTCCAGACCTCTTGGCAGGGGCTGTTGTATACAGGATGGCCATTGACCACATTATTCCACCTCTCCGGAGAAGCCTCTATTCCCAATGCAAATGGAAACACTTCCATCAAATGAAGGAGGCTTCTGGGATAATCTACCCTTTAGAGCAAGAGGGGTACAGCTAGGGCATGAACAAGCAACTAACGTTAGCTACTGTACTGTATGTTACAGAGCATGTTGTACACTTTCCTACTGTGCCATAAAGGTCCAGACCATTTGGTAGAGTACATTCACACACAGGGAATCTACACTACTCATAAAAGGCTAGCTACATACAATGTGTGCATACAACCCTGTACAACAGAGACCGTAGCTAGCTACAGTACTGTATTTAGCTAGAAAGCATCATATACTCAGTTGCTGCTGCCTTCAGCCAACACTAGCTAAAGTTAGCTTTGAAGCTGCTTTCTAGCAACATGCACGCAGCTATAGTAGCAAGACAACACGTAGCTAGCTAGCTACGATAAGCAAACGAGCAGTCTTTGTTTGGAGACGTCAGTTAGTTAGCTAGCTAGCTGCTTTTACCTGAAAACGTATGAAAATCCACTCGCTTCCCTCCATTGCTATGGTAACGATGCAAAGTTCGCGGGAAATAAACCGACTTCTGTTCCTTTTCCGGTGTCACAACCACGTGAACTGAAAATTAAAAGTCCCTTCATTAAATCTGTAATTAAAAATATCTATCAAAATCTCATTAGAAGTTGCAAACTCGTCTGTATTAGCAATATATGAAAAACAAATTGTTTTGCTTTAACTATTCAAAGCTATTAGTAATGTCTGCGTGTTTATGTCGTTATTGGTGTTTATTTTGAAAAATATATGAGCGACCCCGGATATACTTATTTTTGCAAATGTCGTACCGCCACTGCTGTCGAAAAATCTTTGGCTGTCCGGTCTCCGCATGGCTTCTTGCTAAAAATCTACGCCACACGCGAAAATGAGTGGTGTGAACCAAATGACTTTGTTCCAGACTTGGGGAGCATCGGTTCCGCAAAAGATTAGTCAAAATAATAATGTAAAGAAGTCTGCTGGACGGCGAAAAACAACCCCAAACAGCAGCAGCACAGCAGCCTCTGTCAAGACTCAGAAGAGGGCGAATGATATAACTTTGCCGCCCCCGGTGCTCCGTAACTCGCTATGGGGTGAATTTGGTCAGGGGTCCACAGTTGACAGCAATATGAGAGATGTCGAGGAGGTTGCTGCTGATGAAGATGATGATTTAATGGTAGTTGCTGTTTACGAGGCAGAAAAATCTTTGCAAATTGATGGAAACTTTGGACAACATAGTGAACACACAACAAATGTTGAGAGCACTTGTCTCACACAGATAAGCTCAAGTGGATCAACATATTACAAAGACTTCCCTGGCCTTGACAGCTCCTCTGCAAAGGTATGGATCTACCCCACCAACTATCCCATAAGGGACTACCAACTAAAGATATCAGAGGCAGCTTTATTCCAGAACACGCTGGTATGCCTCCCCACTGGCCTGGGCAAGACTTTCATTGCTGCTGTGGTAATGTACAACTTTTATCGATGGTATCCATCTGGAAAGATCGTTTTCATGGCACCAACAAAACCGCTGGTGGCACAACAAATAGAAGCGTGCTACAAAGTGATGGGTATTCCACAGACACACATGGCAGAGTTGACAGGTAAGTTGCCACACATGTATCTTAAAAGTGTTTAAACAGGGCCATGGGAAGGCTATAAAACATGTCTTGTCTGACATTTCCATTCCTTTTCCACCAGGGAGCACGCAGGCTCAGCAGAGGCAAAAACTGTGGAGGTCCAGGCGCATCTTCTTCCTCACTCCCCAGGTGTTGGTGAACGACCTGTCTCGAGACACCTGCCCCGCGCTGCAGGTCAGGTGTGTGGTGATTGACGAGGCTCACAAGGCACTGGGGAATCATGCCTATTGCCAGGTATCTAACACTTAACCATACCTGGGAATGTTTCTGCTTTAACCAAGGAAGTTTGTGTTGAGCTTTACATTTATGTAATGCACCATTACAGATCAGAGGTCGTTAAGCTATTTCACCACTGTTCAATAACTGATACTGGCACCAGTTACCACCAGAGGAATCGATTGATTGATAGAATTTATTAGAATATTAAAAGTAGTAGGCTGGTTGAGCAGGTGACACAATGACATGCATAAAAGAAAACACAATAAAGCCCAGAGGCTTATTTTCATTGTGGTCCTCATTTGGCAGTGAGATGGCAGCAATAAATATCAACAGCACAGAGGTGCCTGTTTAAGAGACACCTCATGAGAAAAATACCTCCAATCAAGCCGCCATGTTATTTCTCAGATATTGTTTTTGTGACTCCTTAAAGCTATTCTCTAATGCCAGTTAAATTGCAGCAATAATAGCATGTTGTGACTGCTTCTCTCCTCAGGTGGTGAGACAGTTGGGGAGCCAGACTCAACAGTTTCGCATCCTGGCACTCAGCGCCACGCCAGGTGGAGACACGAAGGTGAGCATCACAGCCTCTTCCACAGCACTCTGAGGATGTTTACCACTATTATTTTGACCTTATGACGCTTACAAAAATGTGTTCAATGGACTAACATGACATTATGCACTGACATTATGTAATGATGTACCACCTCAACCATTTACAAGAGTACAGAAATTATATTCCACCTCAATAGTATTCACATTATGTAGTATTATCACCCAAATTGCCTACTTCCTAGAAATCTATCAACTCACTCCTGACTGTGTCTTCCTCTACAGTCTGTGCAGCAAGTCATATCCAACCTTCTGATCTCCCACATTGAGCTGCGGTCTGAAGAGAGCCCTGACATCCAGGCCCACTCCCACCAGCGCAGCCTGGAGAAGGTGGTGGTTCCCTTGGGGGAGTCGCTGGCCGGGCACCAGGCACTCTACCTACAGGTAGGCACCATAGATCCTCTCATATCAGACTTGGTGGCACAGATTGTTTTCCTGGAAATGTGATGTAGCCTATGTCAACTAGAAAGGTAGACAGTGTTCCTATCTGTATGACAGCCGTAGAGCCTTCCAAAACACAATAATGATGTCTATGTTCGTTAGCTTTTTGAACTTTGTGGTGAAGGAGTGGCCTCTTGAGGCTGGTTCCCTTTTGACCCTGGGTCATGTGACATTTGTTTTGGTGCACTGCCACCATCTTATGGCTGAGATGTGTTATTGCAGGATGTTGTTATTTAAACTGACCCCTACTTGGAAGTAAACGTTCTCTTTTGTCCCTCTGTGTGGTACAACTTAATTCATTATTTCTAACTATATAGTGAAAAGCTGCATCCCAGGGTGCACTGTGGTGGTCCGTCATTGTTTGTCAGTGCAAATGAGCCGTCTGTACTGTAGTGCCCATTTCAGACTAATCTGTCTCAATTGGCTGGAGTGGTAGAATGTTGCGGCTGTAGAGCAAAGGGTCAATCCACCAGCTACTCCACCAGCACTGTACCTCCAACCTCAATAACTGTCAACAGCCGTCAAACCACTGGAGCTGAAGTGACTGGCTGCTAGGGGAATCAGACAAATGAACGCTCAGATAGGTGTTCCCCATGATCCAGCATTCCAGACAGCCTCTGGCGAGGAGGAGACTGAACCCGTGTGGTGCTGCCTGTAGTTGGTGCACCTGCTCTCGTATGATGTGCTGAATTTCCTAAGTTACTCTCACGGTTTATGGTCTAGACAAGATGCCATGGCCTCAACATTGACTAACTCAAAGTAGGTTTTCCTCAGCAAGTATCTCCTTCATGGTCTAGACTGCCCTCAACACTGACTAACTTAACAGTAGTAGGTTTGCCTCTCCCTGGGCACCTCATTGCATAATATCAATGTGACAGCCTGAGCCTACATAATATTTTGATATATTGTGCATGGTTCCCTCTTGTGAGGGATTGTGTTTCACACAGTAACTGAGCCCACAATTATTCCCTTGTCATGGGGAAGAATATTTGTTCCCATGCCGTCTTTTGTAGGTTATGTATTTTGATCTCATGAAAGAAACATACACACTTGATGTGTGTTTGTGGGTGTGAATCAAGTAATTTGGCAGTACATGGCAGATGTTCCCTCTGGAGATTTCCTGCTCCCTCAGGCACAGCACTGAGCTGGGGCTTAGTAACCTCATATGCCCCCATCTCACCTTAAGGTTTTGAATAGCCTTCAAAATGGTGCCATTTCCATGCTCACTGTTGCCAGATAGGTTTGAAATTATACTTTACAGCAGTGGATCTGCTTTCGTGTGTCTGAACATGACAAATCAAGCTTTTTTGTATACTGGTAGTCTAGGTTATTATTAGGATTTGATCTATTATTGGGAAATATCTATCCCCACCATCCTGGCTGGAATCACACAATGAAGATTTAATACCATTTTTATTTCTTAAAGAAAGGAAACCAAACATTTTAACAAAACAATCAAGAAATCCACAGCTCTCATCGTTGCACTTCATCAAAATGTTTTACTGTACAGAACACTTTTACAAATCACTGAAGTAATTACAAACCATACCCCAAATTGCATCCCCTCCAACTGGATGTTCCCAAATGACCAGTCTGTTAGTTAGACGTGGTGGAGTTCAAATCTTTTAAGCATGCTCCAATTCTGTGCACATTAAGAACGTTAACATTATATCCCACTTGGTGTCTACCTCATCTCTGATTCCGGGCAGCAAAACAACTAGCCTAAAGTGTAAAAAGCTGCAAAGGCCAAACAGTTAGCCTAATAACCACCACTGGAACAACTTGGTTAAAGGTGCGTGTTATAATATCACTACACTGATCATAAAGTTCTGGGGACGATGATTTCTCAGAACTACATTTAGACTGGACTTGGCGATTTGAAGTGATTGAGATCCTGTTAGTTTACATGCTGCTGAATGCGGTATGTGGTGAAATAATGGTTATGAATGGTCATTAACCCACACTAGGCAATGAGAAAGATGATCTCCTGAACAAGTCTTCACACAGTGATGATTTGGCAAGGTACAGTTACCATACAGGACTGTCTGTGACTGGCTACCTGATCACAGCTACTTTAATATACAGTCCGGTGTTCAGCAGTATAAGACTAATTCTCCTCTAAAACAAGAATGATAAATCTTTCCTATATATTGTTGAGTCAATAAAATAGATATGATACAGATACCTTTTATGTTAAATGAATCCTCTTAGTCATTGGTTTTATCACAAAATATTTGTGAAGATAGAAAATACCTCCTAAAATGTTATTTTGAGTTTGAATGGATTTTCGTTAAATTGGGTATAGAAACCTAATAATGCTGTGAACTAAAAAACGATTACCCTTTCTTACTTAGAATAGAAATACAAAACACATATCGGTGTGTATACGATAGGTTGCTCTATTTAAGTGCTCTATGCATTTCCTCTCTTATCAATGTTACTTGTTTGTCGTCAGGTGCCAGGTAACTTGCAAGAACATTGACACAAAGCGATGTCTGGATTGGAACAGTATGTAAAGAGAGAGACAGAAAGAGGTAATATTGTAGTTTGTGAACATCTTGGCTTTAAGCAGGGGTTTTCCTGTATCAAAAAGGGGCTTAGGTGGTAGACATGGCTGGGGGCGTAGCAGGGGCGCGGTTAGGCTGAATTTCCCCATCTTGGCATTGTAGCAGATATTTTGCATTTAAGCTAATTTCCAGCAATTCTACACATTTTGCCATGCAGCTGAGAAATGTTGCAGTTTTAAAGGTAGACTCAGCGATATGACGTAGATGCAGAAAGTAAACAGCAGAGTGGGTCAATTTCCTCTCTTTTGGTCCCGTGGCTCCCACGCTGTAAGGGTGTGAAGCGAACCCATGCACATACTGTGTGTGACTGTGTGAGAGCAAAGTCTTTCATCTCGCTCATCTCTATCTGCGCTGCTGCTCGTGGCAACGTCATTTAGCTGAGTCTACCTTTTAAAGCAAATTTCCTGCAGTTCTATGCATTTTGCCATTGCTAATGCAGTGTTCTTTTGCTCAACTAAATCTATACTGCTAAATTCATTGTTTTTGGAATTTGTATTTTTTTTCCTTTTTAGGTGATCGTTAGTTCTGAAATATAAAAAAATATATAGGTCCATTATATTTTCTACATACTTTATCTAGTTTTAGTCGTTTAAGTTTACACTGAAAACATTTTTCCATCCCCAAAAAAGTTATTTCCTCTCCCTAAGAATATATATCTTTTCACAGTTTGGATTTAGGCAACCCGCCCAAGGATTTCAATGGCAGAAAAAATCCTGGCTTTAAGAATGAGGAATGTATTGACTCTCAGAAAAAGCATAGAGAAATGTAGTATGCAGCAGATAGCATGCTTGATTGTCATACAGCAAAGGTCAGTGATTTTGGTTTTGTAGTAATGCTTTTTAAAAATGTTTTATTTTCTCACCGTGCTTGGGCGGTATAGCGGGGTATTTGGACAAAGCCACGGGATGGTTTTTCAATATCATCAAAACTATTTCTTGAATATTTGTAGCTTCTTTTTAAGTTAATACCTGCAGTCAACTTGTGCAATATGTTAGGCGATAAAACAGATTGCGTTCTTCATTTCACCTGTCACATTATGAAGCTTACCGTAGTTCCCCAGAACAGTTGAGCCAGTCATATGTTTGTTTGTAAATAGCACAATGGGAGAAAGCTGGAGCTTGTGAGTCCAGCTGTTTAACTTACTAGTTAGCTGTTTTCCCTTATGAGAAGCATGCGTCAAAACTTTGTTCATTTGCATAATGTCTCTCGTTCACATTCGCTCGTAAATGTCCAAACTCACCAAAAATGACATTCGGTAGCTACTACCTATACTAGTTTAATTTTATGAGCTGGATTGCCTGTCTTTGCAAGTAGTTTATTTTCGTTTGCACTCGTTAGCATATTTAGCTAGCAGCCTCTTGAAATTCGCTATTAGTTTGGCGCCCCCTTGTGTACTAAGGCGGTAGTACCGTAAATCCCGGGATGAGAGAAGGACTGTATGATGACATGAAAATCTGGATACTGCCCAACCCTAGTGTTTATACATTCAGACTGTTTAAATACAGTGCTATGAAAAAGTATTTGGCCCCTTTCTAATTTTCTCTACTTTTGCATATTTGTGATACTGAATGTTATCAGATCTTCAACCAAAACCTAATATTAGATAAAGGGAACATAAGTGAACAAATAACACACAAATTACATATTTATTTCATAAATATGGTGTGATGGTTTGGGGATGCTTTGCTGCCTCAGGACCTGGACGACTTGCCTTAATAGAAGGAACCATGAATTCTGCTCTGTATCAGATAATTCTATAGGAGAATGTCAGACCATCTGTCTGTGAGCTGAAGCTGAAGCGCAGCTGGGTCATGCAGCAAGACAATGATCCAAAACACACAATCAAGTCTACATGAAAATTGCTAAAAAGCAACAAATTGGACGTTTTGGAATGGCCTAGTCAAAGTCCAGACCTAATCCCAATTGAGATGATGTGGCAGGACTTGAAACGAGCAGTTCATGCTTGAAAACCCACACGTCACTGAGTTAAAGCAGTTCTGCATGGAAGAGTGGGCCAAAATTCCTCCACAGCGACGTGAGAGACTGATCAACAATTACAGGAAGCGTTTGGTTGGAGTCATTGCAGCTAAAGGTGGCACAACCAGTTATTGAGTGTAAGGGGGCAATTACTTTTTCACACAGGGGAATTGGGTGTTGCATAACTTTGTTTATGAAATAAATATGTACTTTTTGTTATTTGTTCACTTATGTTCCCTTTATCTAATATTAGGTTCTGGTTGAAGATCTGATAACATTCAGTATCACAAATATGCAAAAGTAGAAAAAATTAGAAAGGGGGCAAATACTTTTTCATAGCACTGTACATGTTTATACAGTTCTGTGTTTCTCTATATGTCACTATTTTGCATCTTCAGTGTTTCCTTGACAGAAATAAAATGGCCTGCTTTACATACACTTCTTCACTTCTGATAAATCCACCCTCCTATTGCATTAAATGGTCTAAAGTTGGTAGTTATCATGGTGAAGATTACAATTAGGCCTATCCCTCACCAATGCTGACTGGAATAGGTGTCATCGTTCAGGATTGTTAATTGCCTGGTAAAGATTCAAGTTCTTCAAGGTTTACAGTGTAACTGGCGCAATAATTAGATATCCACCCACTTTTCACAAAACATCACGTAAACGTCATTTGGCTCCTCTCTCTTCGGAGGAGGTCAAGACTATGTGATGAGAACAGCAGGTGCAGAGTAAAATCACTAGTTGGCCTATCAAGAAGGTCTTAACCCTTGAGTCAATTTCTGCGGCCCCACTGAAATCGAATTAGCATAATAAAAATATCCCCATAAAAATTTATTCCAAATATTTTTTTTTGCATGGGCTGCGTCTCAATCAACCGCATCCGCCGATTCTTCCGCAGCTGCGGTGAAAGGTGGCAGAGCTACAGCGGTGTTTGTCAGATAATGAGGAATCCCGAAAAATCAGTCTTCTCACAAACGTCTGTAGTGTTTGGCCCAAAAACTATTATGACCCCTCTACGGAAAGGTGAGACGCTCACGAACACGTCAGTGGTTTTGCACTACGACCCCCACAAGCGTCATGGGACTCGTCTGAAGTCGGTACCGCCGATCTGCCAACTTCTGTCTGTAGTGTCCGAACAGTTTGGGCTACACACTAATATGACCCCTCTATGGAAAGGTGAGTCTCTCACGAACACATACTTGTTGGTTGTTTTTGCTTTAGGACACCCACAAGCCTAGCCCGATACCAGTTAAAAAATATTAATTGAAGTAAAATAAAGTATACACTGAGTGTAAAAAACATTAAGGACACCTGCTCTTTCCATGACAGACTGACCAAGTGAATCCAGGTGAAAGCTATGATCCCTTATTGATGTCACTTGTTAAATCCACTTCAATTAGTGTAGATGAAGGGGAGGAGACAGGTTAAAGAAGGATTTTTAAGCCTTGAGACATGGATTGTGTATGTGTGCCATTCAGAGGGTGAATGGGCAAGACAAAATATTTAAGTGCCTTTGAAATGGCTATAGTAGTAGGTGCCAGGCGCACCGATTTGTGTCAAGAGCTGCAACGCTGCTGGGTTTTTCACGCTCAACAGTTTCCCGTGTGTATCAAGAATGGTCCACCACCCAAAGGACATCCAGCCAACTTGGCACAACTGTGGGAAGCATTGGAGTCAACATGGGCCAGCATTGCTGTGGAACACTTTGGAGTCCATGTCCCGACGAATTGAGGCTTTTCTGAGGGCAAAATGGGGGGTGCAACTCAATATTAGGAAGGTGTTCTTAATGTTTTGTACACTCAGTGTGTATGGAAGTAGTTTAGTGTCTAAAAAAGTGGTTAAATATGTCAAGAAATATAAATAGTTTCCTGATCTTATCTCTCAGATATAGGACAGACACTTCAAAACAAACTTCCTTTATATGTTTTTCCTTGTATGAATCTGTTATTCAATGCGTTTGTGGGCTAATAGCAGTAAGTCCAAATTAAATGTTTCATCAGATAATGTAATATATTTTTGGGTCCTAAAATCGAATATCTAAATGATCCTTCGTATGACCATCTGAAAACAATTCCATATGTTAGCTTAATAGAACCCCCCTCTTCCAGGTTTAGACTCTAGAAGGTTAATGGACCCAAATGATGCAGCCTTGCACAGAACTGGTAATCAGGACCTTTTTCAGCAAATTCCCTAAGTCTCTTCTCTCTAAAACAGGAAGGGGTTTCCATTAGGGGTGAATCGGTAGGGTCCGATAAGGACGGGGGTGTTGGGTGGGTCAAGTTCAGGAGGAGATTTCAAGGTTAGGCTGGCCCTCAAGGTCGCTCCAGGAACCAAATCTCATTCTGTCGATTTGCCGCTGCGGGGTTGGTGTAGCCGGCGACGATGAATGAGCAATTCACGCATACGGCGGGGGAGTCGAGCACTTCCGCCATGGTGCGGATCTCGTTGATGATGGTCACCTCGTTCGTGGCGCCAGCGAAGGCCCTGGAGCGAGAAAGGGGCACATAGGAATCGAATGAGATTTGATTCAAGTAGTGGAGGTGTGCGTTTTTGAAGGTATTTTAACCTCCCTACTCATTCTGCTGTTTAAATTCCCATGAGGCTTTTGAATAGACTCTGCTTTGAGATTGTCCAATATGCTATGAAAGTGAATCACAATAGGCTAAATGGAAACAACTGGAGCCACTGTCATTTTTGGAAGCATAATGTCTAGCAAAAAAGTGTTGGCGTGGTGGCTAACTGACTGAAATAATGTAAATAACTTTAGCTAGTTAGTCTCTTGTGACTGACTTAACAAATGTTTGTGTCCAATAGAGTAGCTAACTAACTGCAGGCCGAAACAATTTGCTTGAAACTGAACTTTGTTCATGCTTCAAACTGACAGTGGCTCCAGTAATACATTTTGATGTTAACGTATCCATATTGTATTGTCATAAAATGTATCAGGCAGCACAAAATAATTGCAAACTACTACCTTGTGTATACAATAGTGGCAGGCCATTCCTCAATACTTATTTCTGTGTCAGAAGGCTGGGGTGGCTGGGCTTGGTATTCTGTGGGCAGGTAGTAGGCCACAGTGACGTCACTGGACAAGACAGAGTGGTTCTCGTCCGTGCGGATCACCGTCAGGATAGGGATGGTCATACCCAGATAGGTACCTAAGGGACAGGACATGAACAACCAAGAGTCTGCAGTAGATTTGGCTAAACAAGGATGACTTTAGAAGAATATAGATTCAATGACTCCTGTAAACGCTGCTTTGGGACTCACCTGAGGAGTTCTGCTGGCAGATGTATCTCATGAGCTTCATGAAGCCGTAGCAGATGCTCTGCTCGTAGGTGTCCTCGTGAACCGTGATGCACGCCCAGTGGGCCTTCTCATAGTGACGCTTCTCATAGAGCACGTCCCCACACTGTATAGACAGACACACACAGAAACAAAGGCTCAGGCTCATGCATTTGGCTGGGTCACTATTAGTGATGTGCGGATCAGCTGTTTGTTCACCCGCAATTCCTAATAACCCAGCCGCAACCACTCGACTATACAGTGCATTCGGAAAGTATTCAGACCCCTTGACTTTTTCCACATTTTGTTTTACGTTACAGCCCTTGTCTTCTTGGCACACCTGTATTTGGGGAGTTTCTCCCATTCTTCTCTGCAGATCCTCTCAAGCTGTCAAGTTGGATGGGGAGCGTCGCTGCACAGCTATTTTCAGGTCTCAACAGAGACGTTCGATCGGGTTCAAGTACGGCATCTGGCTGGGCCACTCAAGGACATTCAGAGACTTGTCCCGTAGCCACTACTACATTGTCTTGGCTGTGTGCTTAGGTTCATTGTCCTGTTGGAAGGTGAACCTTCGCTCCAGTCTGAGGTCCTGAGTGCTCTGGAGCAGGTTATCAAGGATCTCTGTACTTTGCTCCGTTAATCTTTCCCACAATCCTGACTAGTCTCCCAGTCCCTGCCGCTGAAAAACATCCCCACAGCATGATGCTGCCACCACCATGCTTCACCATGCTTCCTTTAGGTGCCTTTTGGCAAACTCCAAGTGGGCTGTCATGTGCCTTTTACTGAGGAGTGGCTTCCATATGGCCACTCTACCATAAAGGCCTGATTGGTGGAGCGCTGCATAGATGGTTGTCCTTCTGGAAGGTTCTCCCATCTTCAAAGAGGAACTCTGGGGCTCTGTCAGAGAGACCATGGGGTTCTTGGTCACATCCCTGACCACGGCCCATCTCCCACGATTGCTCAGTTTGGCTGGGTGGCCAAGAGTCTAGGTGGTTCCAAACTTATTCCATTTAAGAATGATGGAGGCCATTGTGTTCTTGGGGACCTTCAATGCTCCAGATCTGTGCCTCGACACAATTCTGTCTCGGAGCTCTACGGACAATTCCTTCGACCTCATGGCTTGGTTTTTGCACTGACATGCACTGTCAACTGTGGGACCTTTATATATAGAAAGGTATGTGCCTTTCCAAATCATGTCCAATCAATTGAATTTACCACAGGTGGACTCCAATCAAGTTGTAGAAACATCTCAAGGATGATCAATGGAAACAGGAAGCACCTGAGCTCAATTTAGAGTCTCATAGCAAACGGTCTGAATATTATTTTTCTCAACCTGTTTTCGCTTGTCATTATGGGGTATTGTGTGTAGATTGATGAGGAAATGGTTTTTATTTAATCTATTTTAGAATAAGGCTGTAGCGTAACAAATTGTGGAAAAAGTCAAGGGGTCTGAATACCTTCCAAATGCACTCTATTATTTTATATTATTTTAGCCCATACAAACGCATTGAATAAGATTTACTACATGGAATAACAGTCCCCCCCCAAAACAATCTAAAGGAAGTTTGTTCTGAAGTGTCTGTCCTATATCTGAGATAAGAAAGATCTGGATTTTTTATTAATTTTTTTGTCACTAAAACATATATACTTCCATTCATTTTTCCCCCAACTGGTACCGGGGGACCTTCAGACGAGTCCTGAGGCCTGTGGGCAAAACAACCGTCCTAGAGCAAAGGGGTCGCCTTTTCACAGAGGGGTCATATTAGTGTGTAGCCCATACTGTTCGGACGCTACAGACAATTTGTGAGAAGACCGATTTTCGGGATGTCTCATGGTCTCACAAACACTGCTCTATCTCTGTCACCTTTCACCGCAGATGTGGAAGTGCGGCATCCAATGCAAAAAAACTGATCTCTCGCTTAAACTGACGGATTGTTATGGGGATTGATTTATGCCAATTAGATTTCTGTGCGGACATCGACCTTAGGGCTTGGCCAGAGAGTAGAGTTAACCCCCTAACTGACTTGAGGTAAGCCAGTTGGACCATTTTATTTTTACTTTCCCCAAGTGACTAAGAGGCTCATTGAATTGGCTGAGGGGATTGTCTTTATTCCCCTGTCCAAAATAAAATGGCAATCCCTGTTACATCGGCATTAATCATATTGTAAACACAACTTGGCTTTTGTGTCACGTCTCAACAGAAATGTGGTTGTCATTGACAGTGATAGTGAAAATGCGTTGGCACTGCGACCAGGATTTTTAAACATGATAAACCGCAGAAGCGGTGTTCAGTCCTTGGGGAACTTTAATATGGCGAGTGATCAGACGACGGAATTTGGTTGTCATCCTTTTATTAATCACTTCTGTTTCATCACTATCTGCCTTTTGGTGGTGGGGCAAGGCCTCATTCTTGTTCAGTAAGAAAATACCATAAAATCAAGGATATCTACACTTCATGACCAAAAGTATGTGGACACCTGCTCATCAAATATCTCATTCCAAAATCATGGGCATTAATATGGAGTTGGTCCCCCCTTTGCTGCTATAACAGCCTCCACTCTTCTGGGAAGGCTTTCCACTAGATGTTGGAATATTGCTGCTGGGACTTGCTTCCATTTAGCCACAACAGCATTAGTGAGGTCGGGCACTGACGTTGGGCGATTAGGCCAACGTCGGCGTTCCAATTAATCCCAAAAGGTGTTAGATGGGGTTGAGGTCAGGGCTCTGTGCACGCCAGTCAAGTTCTTCCACACCGATCTTGACAAACCATTTCTGTATGGACCTCGCTTTGTGCACGGGGGCATTGTCATGCTGAATCAGGAAAGGGCCTTCCCCAAACTGTTGCCACAAAGTTGGAAGCACAGAATCGTTTTTTTTTGTCATTTAGCAGACGCACTTAACCCTAATTGCTCCTGTAAGTCGCTTTGGATAAGTGCCTTGCTCAAGGGCACATCGACAGATTTTTCACCTCCAGATGGTGAAGCGTGATTCATCACTCCAGAGAACGCGTTTCCACTGCTCCAGAGTCCAATGGCGGCGAGCTTTACACCACTCCAGTCGATACTTGGCATTGCGCATGACGATCTTAGGCTTGTGTGCGGCTGCTCAGCCATGGAGACCCATTTCATGGATCTCCCGACGAACAATGCTGACATTGCTTCCAGAGGCAGTTTGGAACTCGGTAGTGAGTGTTGCAACCGAGGACAGATGATTTTTACGAACTACAGCACTCAGCGGTCCCGTTCTGTGAGTTGTGTGGCCTACCACTTCGCGGCTGAGCCGTTGTTGCTCCACTTACAGTTGAACGGGGCAGCTCTAGCAGGGCAGAAATTTAACGAACTGACTTGCTGGAAAGGTGGCATCCTATGACGTGCCACTCTTCAGTAAGGCCATCCTACTGCCAATGTTTGTCTATGGATGGCTATTTGTTCAATTTTATACACCTGTCAGCAACGGGTGTGGCTGAAATAGCCAAATCCACTAATTTGAAGGGGCGTCCACATACTTTTGTGTGTATATATAGTGTACCTCAAACCTTGAAGGCTGAATATGACCTCATTCCACAGTTGTACTATGAGGTCAAGTATGTATGTGTGGTCTTGGCCATGTGTGTTTTGTTAAGACTTGGGTAATCTTTAGCTATTGACTGGATTGATTGATGACCCCTTGGTGGTGGAAATTATTAGGATCATATTTTAATTTAGCATGAACTTGGTGAACTTAGCAGGCGTATTGCCACTTCTCAGGCCCTCTGAGCCATAACACTGTGACCTGAACTGTCACCCTGCCTCAGCCTAACCCCCCCTCCCCATCCACTCCCCCACAACCAGATGTTACCAATTTGTAAGTCGCTCTGGATAAGAGCATCTGATAAATGACTTAAATGTAAATGTACAAATGTTCAGCTAGGAGTTGACAGCTGACTTAATGAGAGTTAAAGGGAAATTCCACAATTGTTCTACTTCATATTCATCATCTATAGCACCACCCCAACATACAGTTGAAGTCGGAAGTTTACATACACCTTAGCCAAAAACATTTAAACTCTGTTTTTCCCCATTTCTGACATTTAATCCTAGTAAAACTTCCCTGTCTTAGGTCTGTTAGGTCACCACTTTATTTTAAGAATGTGAAATGTCAGAATAATACTAGAGAGAATGATTTATTTCATCACATTCCCAGTGGGTCAGAATTGTACATACACTCAATTAGTATTTGGTAGCATTGCCTTTAAATTGTTTAACTTGGGTCGAACGTTTCGGGTAGCCTTCCACAAGCTTCACACAATAAGTTGGGTGAATTTTGGCCTATTCCTCCTGACAGAGCTGGTGTAACTGAGTCAGGTTTGTAGGCCTCCTTGCTCGCACACGCTTTTCAGGTCTGCCCACACATTTTCATATAGGATTGAGGTCAGGGCTTAGTGATGGCCACTCCAATACCTTGACTTTGTTGTCCTTAAGCCATTTTGCCACAACTTTGGAAGAATGCTTGGGGTCATTGTCCATTTGGAAGACCCATTTGCGACCAAGTTTTAACTGATGTCTTGATATGTTGCTTCAATATATCCACATAATTTTCCTTCCTCTGATGCCATCATTTTGTGAAGTGCACCAGTCCCTCTGCAGCCAAAGCACCCCCACAGCATGATGCTGCCAACCCCGTGCTTCAGTTGCAAACCGTTAGTCTGGATTTTTTAATGGCGGTTTTGGAGCAGTGGCTTCTTCCTGCTGAGCGGCCTTTCAGGTTTGTCGATATAGGACTCGTTTTACTGTGGATATAGATACTTTTGTACCTGTTTCCTCCAGAGTTTTAATGACTCTAACCTAAGTGTATGTAAACTTCCGATTTCAACTTTATGTGAATATGGCGCGTTTCTATGTTTTGTAGTAAAAAAGCTAGAGTGTTTTCAATTAGTATGCAATGCCTACTCATAATTGGTTAAATCACACAATGTTCATATTCCTCCATCTCTTTTACTTCAAAACCTAGAAACTATAACATTTTCACATGTTGATGCTTGGGTGGTGCTGGCGATGATGAATATGAAGTTGAAAATTTATTTTAACTGTCCTACAAGTGTACAGGCTTGGGGCAAAAAATTGGCCTAGATCACACTGTTCCTTGAAGGATGTTTGCATTTCAACTGATGCAAACTTACTGTAGTAGACACCAAATTGAAAGTGTGCTTGTATACTGACGCCACACACACACACACTGCTGCTACTTACTGTCTTATCTATCCTGTTGCCTAGTCACTTTACCCCTACCTATATGTACAGTACACGGCTACCTCAGTTACCTCGTACCCCTGCACATCAACTCTGTACTGGTACTCCCTGTATATAGCTTTGTTATTTTCTACTCCCTGTATATAGCCATGTTATTTTTACTCATTTGTGTTCATTATTCACTGTATTTATTCCTCGTGTCACTTTTATTTTGTATCTTATCTTTAACTCTACATTGTTGGAAATTGACCCGTAAGTAAGCATTTCACTGTTAGTCTACACCTGTTTTCTGCGACGCATGTGACAAATAAAATCGGATTTCATTTGAAATTGCCTTCAATTTAGTGTGAATTGTCCGATAATAAGAAGGGCCTAATAAATGCCAGTTAGTAGACACTTTTAGCCAAAGCGACTTAGTGTGCATACATTTTTAGTATGTGTGATCCCTTCAGCCAAACAGGACCACACATTTTACAATGAGTCTTATTGCTTGGCTGGCAGAGTAGATATTGTTTGTTGGTGAATTTGTCACGATGATAGACTTGCCTTCTCCTTACGAGTGATGAGGGTGAAGGGCACGCGCTCCCGGTCATGTTGGCCGTCGTTGTTGCTGGTGATCTGCTGGATGGGCTCGGCCATGTCTGTTTTGGAGAGAAAAACAAAGACTTGGTACATTTTTATTGAGTTGCTTCAAGTAGGGTCGCCATAGTCCGGGACCTTCAGACGATTTGGGAAAGAGTGAGGAATTTTTCAACCCTACCTTCAAGTACAACAAATGTGGAGTCGGGTTGTATGCTTGTTGACAATGCTGTAGTGCTACTAACAAAACAGCCCATTCTTACATTTCCGATCCTGATTTGGGCTCCATAGATTCAGAAAAACGTATTGTCTGGCAATCTGCCTAATAAAGGTCAAACTAGTAAAGGCAAAGGCACTGAAATATAGACCCCTATGACATGACTGTAGCTAGTAGTAGTACAAGAAGTATTGGTTTCCTATTGCAGTCTATAGACTATAGCAGCTGTTCCCAAACTAGGGGTCGCGACCCAATGTGGGGGTCGCCCGATATAAAAATGGGGTCGTGGGAGAATTTTCAAAATCCTGAAGGGGAATAATATACACAAATATATATTATAATATCGTCTTTGTATCTCAAAATCATTAATGTGGTTAACCTTAAAAATCGAAAACTATTCAAATCTGAAAGATAAAATTAGATAATGGGAAAAGGCTGTACTTGACCATTGCACATGAATCATTCCCAAGGTGAATGGCTAGGCCCACTAAGCTATGAAACCACACACTATTGCAGAGACTTTGATATTACCGGCCGCAATTGATATGGTGAAAACAATGTGCAGAGGCACAGAAACTCAAATCAATACCTTTGTCAGCTAACACTGTTAAACAATTTATGCTATTGCTAGCAATCAAGAGGAAACTCTGAACGACTCAAACTACCCAGCTTATGCTCTCCAAATGGACGTTAGCTGTGAGGGCCGAGATGCCCATGAATTGACTTTTGTTTGCTATACATGTCGGGGGATGCTATTCACAAGGACATATTGTTCGGTCTCACGAATCCCAAGCATAAAAACGCACAGGGGATGTTCAGTGTGCTGCGTGGCTATATTGACGAAAAACTGATTCCATGGGATCGAATGGTGGGCTTTTGCACAGATGGGGCTCCATCTATGGTAGGACAGCGGGCAGGCCTCTGCGCTCTAGTTATGAATGTGTCTCCCTCTGCCATATGGACACATTGTATGATACACCGAGAGCAACTGGCGGCAAAATAATTATCTTCGATTGTAAACTACATCAAACTACATCCACTGCACGCACTTCTGTTCACAAAACTATGTGGAGATATGGGATCAGAGCATGGCAATGTTCTATTTTACACCGAGGCTTGGTGGTTATCGAGGGGGAGTGTTGGAAATATTTTTCACATTAAGAGAGGAACCTTTAAGACTTGGTTGACGTTCTGTTTAAGAAAATGTGTCTCCTTGCCTATGTAACAGACATATTTGGTAAACTAAATGAACTGAACGCAAGCATGCAGGGGAAATACAAAAACATTCTACAGATGATTGACTAGGGTCAGTGGATTCAGATCAGATTAAAGAATTCTTATTGGAGAGAGTCTTTCAAAAGCGAACCATGCCCCCCTTCCTTCAGCTGTGAATGTTTCTAACAGAAAACAGCATCCGTAAGTTTCCCACACGAGTGATGACTGCTCACCTCCAAAGCTTGAAAGAGCACTTTGGGACATTTCTTACATTTTTACAATTTTTTAGTCATTTAGCAGACGCTCTTATCCAGAGCGACTTAGTTAGTGAGTGCATACATATTTTATTTTTTTCATACCCCCCGTGGGAATCAAACCCACAACCCTGGCGTTGCAAACGCCATGCTCTACCAACTGAGCTACATCCCTACTTCCCAATCTGTTTGACATGCCGGTAAGTGAAATCGAACAGCTGATCGAGCTGTCATGTGACCGAATGCTGCTGACAACGCATTCACAGGGCACTATTGAGGAGTTTTTGTTTGATTTAAAGGGAATACCCTGCCACCTCCCGCTGAGCATTAATGCAGCGGTCAAAACTAATGGGAATTAGGAACTCGGAAATCTCTGACTTCCGAGCGTTCAAGACAACTGGGAACTCGGAGGGAAAAAACGAGCTCCGACTGGGAAAAATCTTTTGAACGGTCATCCAATTCAGAATTCCAACACGGTCCTCATTTTAGAGCTCCGACTTTCCGACCTGAAGATCAGTGACGTCATGATTTGACCTCGTATTTTTCAGAGCTCCCAGTTGTCTTGAAAGCGCCATAAAACTCATGGTACCCTTCGCCAGTTCCTATCTGTGTGAAGCTGGATTCAGTGCGCTTATCTGCATTAAAACCAAATAGGTTAGATGTGACAGCAGAGATGAGGTGCACACTGTCGGCCATGCCCCCTAACTTTGGAAAGCTCCTACACGACATGCATCAAGCACACCCATCTCATTAGTGGTGGTGAGATAAGATACGTCAGACTAATTTGCAATTGACTGTCATAGCCCCACATTTAAAAGTATGATGGTGAGTTGAGAAGACAATCAGAAATACTGTTCATGTTTTTCAATTAATTGCCATTGCCCCAAATCAAAAAGTAAACATTGGCTATTAATTACATTAGTTGTTTTCACATGGTTGGGGTCACGAGAATTTTCAGAGATCAAAATGAGGTCGTGGGCCGAACCCCTGGCCTATAGTGTTCAGTAGGCTTGGGCAGTCCCGGGATTAGTGTTGTCACAATACCAGGTTTAGTAACACGATACCCGATACGATCACAATACTCGATACCAAAACTATACAAAAGCAAAAAAAGAAGGCATATTAGCCAAAGTCACTTAATCCAGGCAGAAACTCAGCTACTGCTCTGTTCAATCGTTGGGCATCTTTTGAGTTAAATATCATTACATTTGAAATGTTTTAGGTCAGAATTTTTCAGAGGCAGCCATGTATGCATTAATGAACCAATTATACAATGACTTTGGTAAAAACAATCTAACTACATAACACAATGGTAATAATGTATTTGAATGGTAAATCTCTAGGCTTGGACTGTATCCAGATGGTCATCCCGGGATGTTCGGTAATACACTGAACACAAGGGGCGCTATTTCCAAACCCCACTGAGCCTCTGGAATCCGAAGGTTAGCAATGCTAACAAGTACATGTAAAATCCCTTAGAGAATGCTAACAAGTGCATTTCAAACTCTTTACAGTTCTGACCTAAAGTATTTGCAGGACAGACATCCCAGCTCATAAAGTTATACAAGTAACAAAATAAAATGCTACTCACAGTTTGCTGCACGCACAAAACAAATATTAGACAGCAAGGCTCTTGATCCAGGAGGGGGATTCTCTGCTGTTACCAAACAAAGCTTGCTTTGGGAAGAAGCTAACCACTTAGCAAAATAGCTAACTAGCTACTAAATTAGCAAACCAAATGCACAACTGCAGAGCATTTCGAACATTTTAGACAGGTAACTTAATAGTTATAAGATATCTAGCTGGCAAACATTTTAGTTGTGAATTCCATATTAACTACATCACCTGGCGCATGCTGCACAACAGTGAGTGACTCGCAAGGCTCCGTTCTCTCGTTGTTGTGTGCTTGTAAACAAACACCATGTGACTGGGGACTACCGGTAAGCTTCATAATGAAAAATGTGACCTGTCTAACGTATTGCATAAGTCGACAGGTATTTACTTAAAGTAGCTACTAATACAAAAACCAGTAATGACGTCATTCACAATTGACTACAAAGTGTAAATAGGATCATTTGTCATAAAGTCAGTCTCGTCCAAAACTGAGTTTTGTAAGTGAGTTCGTCACGACTTACTGGAGGGATGGGCATGGATTACAGTTATGCCCAGTGCCCACTAACACGAGAGAATAGGGCTGGGCCCTATATACCGGATTTTAGTAAATACTGTACGGCTGCACAATTCGGACCAAATATCTTATTGCTATTTTTTGTGGGGCCTTATATTGCAATTGCAAATTTTTTAAAATATTTTTTTTAAACTTGGTATTCATCAGACATGGTTTAAACAAGTGTCAGGGTAGAGAACATTACTTCTAAAATGAGATCTGAATGAATACATACTGCGCTAACTGAATACAAAACCAAATGTTCTACTAGACAAAAGGTCTGTTGTAGCCGTGTAATAATCCACGTATGAGCTCTGCTTCAACTTCTCCTTTTAATTTGTAACCATAAGCCTAACTGACTGCAGCCCAATAGTGTGATTGAGCGCTCAATCCCTAACAAATGACCTCTAGTGTATGAAGGGGTATTGTTCATGTGAGTGCAAGGCTACAGTACAGTATAGCCTAATATTTGTTATCAGAAATGTCAATAAGCATATTTCCACTTTGTACAAAGTGTGGGGGCGGCTGAGGTTTACTGTTCAACATTGTAACCCACAGTATGTCAGGACAGGATTTAATAGCCCAAGCTTTCCCTTAACCAGAGCAGGCTAGGCTATAGCTCATCTGTTAAGCCTTTAATGCCTCAACGGTGGCTCCATGCTAAGTCTCCAATTAGTTAGTGGGAAGGAGAGAGAACGAACAGGTGGGGGCCCCAGCCCCAGTCTAACTGGAACTCAATAAGCAGCATACCATAACTTCATTTACCAGTCCTCATCACTCAATGTTCAGCAGCCTACACGTCCAACCAAAAGGGCATTTATTTCTACCCTGTGGCTCCGACACTAGCCTACTTCAACCTGGGTTGTGTTTAGCGCTGGGCGATATAGCCTAATAATCATGTCTTGATTTTTTTTCAAACTTATGGGTGATTCATGATATATACAAAAGTATGTGGACACCCCTTCAAATTAGTGTATTTGGCTATTTCAACCACACCCATTGCTGACAGGTGTATAAAATTGAGCACACCGCCTTGCAACCTCCATAGACAAACATTGGTAGTAGAATGGCCTTACTGAAGAGCTGTGACTCAACGTGGCACCGTCATAGGATGCCACCTTTCCATCAAGTCAGTTCGTCAAATTTCTGCCCTGCTAGAGCTGCCCCGGTCAACAGTAAGTGCTGTTATTGTGAAGTGGAAACTTCTAGAAGCAACAACGGCTCAGCCGCGAACTGGTAGGCCACACAAGCTCACAGAACGTGATCGACGAGTGCTGAATCGCGTAAGAATCCTCTGTCCTCGTTTGCAACACTCACTACCGAGTTCAAAACTGCCTCTGGAAGCAACGTCAGCACAATAACTGTTCATCGGGAGCTTCATGAAATGGGTTTCCATGGCCGAGCAGCCTAAGATCACCATGTGCAATGCCTAGTGTTGGCTGGTGTGGTGTAAAGCTTCCGCCATTGGACTCTGGAGCAGTGGAACACGTTGTCTGGAGTGATGAATCACGCTTCACTTGGTGGATGCCAGGAGAACGCTACCTGCCCGAATGCATAGGCTAACTGTAAAGTTTGGTGGAGGAATAATGGTTTGGGCTAGGTGCCTTAGTTCCAGTGAAGGGAAATCTTAACGCTACAGCATCCAATGACATTCTAGACGATTCTGTGCTTCCAACTTTGTGGCAACAGTTTGGGGAAGGCTCTTTCCTGTTTCAGCATGACAATCCCCTTTGGAATGAATTTGAACGCCGACTGCGAGCCAGGCCTAATCACCCAAAATCAGTGCCCGACCTCACTAATGCTCGTGGCTGAATGGAAGCAAGTCCCTGCAGTAATGTTCCAACATCTAGTGGAAAGCCTTCCCAGAAGAGTGGAGGCTGTTATAGCAGCAAAGGAGGGACCAACTCCATATTAATGCCCATGATTTTGGAATGAGATGTTCAATACTTTTGGTCATGTAGTGTTACCCTAAATAAGCTTTCTTGTACAATTTAAAAAGGTCAAATACACTGCATTTCAGACAGTCAGCAATAATCTAATGAATTAAGAGCTTGTGAAATTATACCTAGGCTAAATATAAGCCTTCCACAACCATAAAACCCACTCATTTAATTATTATATTTAAATAGTTTAACCTGTTATGAAAATGCCTTTTTATTACAAATTTAACCAGAACCATGCATAATGCACATTCAATAATAATGACTAACTTCTTGTAGCAGGCATTAGGCTATAGAAAATTAACACAGGTCTCACACTCAAGCACAAGCCCATGTGCTAGTGAGTAGCCAGCTAATCTTCATATTTCATGTATAGCCAACTTGGATCTATTTGCTAACAAGGTAGAACAGTTGAATTGTTATGAACACATCCTTCTGTCTGTCTCCAACTGTTTGAAAAGCATGTTAGCCTGTCCACTTTCTTCAAATGTTGAAATCAAGTGGTCTACCTTATTTCTCAGAATGAGAACGACTTGCCAATACCTTATATAATTCTGTTTTATGCTTATTGCTCATTTATAAAACACAGACTAGACAACTAGCATAACAGTCTTTGGCTAAAATGCTGCTAGCGGAACCGCGCGTGACAAACCGATCATACATTTTCCAGAATCTGTTCATTGATACTCTTGTTTTAGTAGGGTCTGTTCTGCGCGCAATTTGAGGAGTTGAAACATAAAAAGCGTGTTTGAAAGGTTTAATTATTTATTATAGTAAAATAATGTCTCCAATGTGTTTCGGTTTCCATATGACCGATTTTCTGTTGGACCAAACCTCAAATGCAAATAGCGAGTTCAATCCGCTTGTCAGAGAGGAAGAAGTGATCTCTTATCTGTTTTTCTGTGAGTGGCTTGGTGTGTGTGTGTGTAAATTGGAAAGTGCACAGCCTACAAGGTATTGCACACAGCACAAAAGACACGAAGGAGATGAGACCAAATGGACAACATGAGAACAAGCGGACATAAACGCTCAGAAAACCTTGATTCTTACAATATAGGCATTTGGAATATCGCGCAAAAACAAATGTTAGAATTAATCTAATTAATTTGATATATCGCAAAGCCCTAGTTGTGTTCATTAGGCACTAAATTGGAGAAAACCAACTCAAACACGGAGGGGCTGTGGATATGTCCAATAAGAACCGCTAGTTTCCTTTCAAAATGTTTTAGTAGTATGCCCTACTGAACACAACCCCAGACTGCAGGATGGGGTTACTGTACCCTACTGAACATACATACATACTGCTCTACTGGACTGTAGTGGAGGGGATACTTAGAATGTAGATTGAACAGCAGTAGTACTATTCAGAAGTTTTGACTTACTCTGGGGACAGCTGCATAGACAGCCCAATCTGAGTGTACATTTTTAGCCCCCTGTAATTTTGCTGCAGGCTGCATTCCAGAGGGCGTAGTATGTCAGGAACAACTTTGCTCAGTTTACTCTCAGTAATATAAGCAGTTCTGGGTACAAATCTGGTTGCAGTACAACCAACCGCCTGGCTTCTGTGTGCAATAGGAGGCCTATCCATTGTTTGACTGTACGTGCAGACTGCTGCAATCTGTATTCTAGGGCTAGGGGGAATTGGGTCACTCAGTGTTGTTGCCTCATGTTAACCATAGACAGGGGTTTAAATTCAGGCCAAAAATATTCACATTCTCCATAGTCAAGTTGTAAACAGAACAGTGTCTTCTTTCAACCTGGGGTTTTGTAGGCTATATGGCAGGGATCATCAACTAGATTCAGCCTAGGGCCAATTTATTTATTGAGCGGATGGTCGGGCGGTCGGAACATAATTACAAATAATTTGTAGATGGCAAATTGACCTCAAGAAGGCCAAACAGATAGAAAGTTTGACAAAAACATAATCATTTCAAACCTTGCTTACATTTGTATACGATCACGTTTCTCTATGCGTGGGAATACTTGGGAACAGATTTCTTCAATAAAAATCACTTGGAGCTGATTTTCCTGATGTTTAGTTTAGCCAATTAGTTTAGCCAATTAGGGAACCCTGCTATATGCGGCATTTTTCAGCCATTACTGTATTCTGGCTATATTTTTCTGAGAGGTAGGTTATTAAAAAGTGATGCCATTTTCAGGGCGTGAAACATTGCTTTCAATATTTTGTTATTTGCTGAAAGAGTAGGTTCAACATTTCAATTGTTAATACTTTCAGTTAGGATTCTAAGTACCATATTTTTTTAAAGTGTATTTATTTTATGGATCAAAACTATCCATGCATTCCAGTTGTATTGGTTTGCCTGTCATGGGGCGTTAGTGAACATTACTACCTAACGGTCAATCTTGAGGGGGATGACCTGAACATTTACTGACCAGCCCTATTTTCCTCATTGTATGCACAGCAATTATTGTCCCTCAGGGATGAATACAATTTATTGAATATTTTATTTAAATGTTTTCCCAATTCAATTTTCCACGGACTTGTCATCATCTTCAAGATTTCTATGTTAGGAAAACGATTTCTTAATGGAGGCATTTCTTAAATGTCATTGGCATGATGTGTTGAAGACATATGAACAGTGGCACCTCATGCGAATGCCTGCCAAAATGGCAATGGGCATCTGTTGGATCAGGGTTTGTTAATCATTTTAAAAGAGCCTCTACTGGTCACGAGGGGCAAAAAGATCAGGGGCTTTAAAAGGGGTTAAGTGACATCAGTCATGTTATGCTACAAGCACTCATCTTACTAGGTTACGATTACATGTAGCCCCTCATTTTTACACATGGCACTAGCATTATTCACAGCCTAGGATTTCATGTAGCTCAAGTACATTATAAATGTTTAATACATTTTAGTATACATTAACTAGCCTAGTTACAATAGTACCGTATGTGAGTGACTGTATACATTGTCTTGAGCGCTGATACAAGGCTTGGACACAGCAAATTACCCACAATGCACTGTTTTGACAGCCGTCAACATTGACCGATAGTTTAAATAACGTCGACAATGGTTTGAGTTTCAATTTGATGGCTGTATGTCTATTTGTGAAAAAAGTATAGGTCATTTGTGTCCGTTTAATGATAACGTCAGGCACCTTGATGACGTCGACTACAGGAATAGTTCGAACTTGCTGGCTGATCTCTCGCGCATAAGTAGGTCAATCGATGAAACAGGAAATAAAAACAAAGTAGCCAACCTTGCACTCTTATTGTTGTCACAATTGTCACAGTTTCAACCGTTTTGTTTATGCTGTCCATACAGCATTGTCACAAGAGAATTGCCCATACAAAATCCACTACTTTCTAAATTCGAAATGTACAGTGTGTGCTCTAAATCGCAAATGCTTTACCTCGAGGCACTTCCACCTGGTGTCCCCGAGCAGCGTCCTGCCAGTAGCTCAGCAATCTGTCTTGCTGCTCTTCGTCCTCCATCGTCTCACCCTCCTCTTCCAGACTTCCAATGCCCGAATCTGACAGTTGGTCTTCCGAAAAAGATTCCAGGTCCTCTAGCGTGATCGTCCCATATGAGGATCCGCTGCCGCCTCCACCACCGATACCGTCGAGTCCACCACCTCCGTTCATACGACAATTACCTGGCTGCATTCTCCACTCTTGGAAAAAATATTTAGATAAACGTATTCCAAAGCAAATGTGTACTGTAGGGTCTAAAGAAAGACAGCGTTTGGTGGTAGATCCGTCACAATCCGATGCTGTAAATTCTGATCCAGGTAAATCCGAATTAGGAAAACTTCGAATTAGGAAAACTTCAGGGCTCTAGTCTTGACGCTTATTCCGACGCATTTAGCAATGTTGTTTTCTTTACACAGCTGTGCAACCTATATTCTATTTACAAAAACCATTTCAAACTTCTCTACTGAAATTATTAATCGTCGACTGCAAAACAAATACCTTGCCTGTCATTACACGACCCTTTCCATGGACTGTAGTGAACTAAACTTGATGTTTATAGACGATGGAACACCACGTGACACCTGGCCACTCCTACTACTGCAAGACGGGATAAATGCTGAAGTCACCTGAACATCTTTGCCTGAATTCTATGGAGGACTAAAAGTGCCACAATTAAATAAATAAATACACCATTAAATAATTACTTAAATGTGTCATTAATTAATTAAAATTAGAATTAAATACATAAATGTGTAATTAAATATATCATTAATTAATTCAAATACCGATTCATTTTATGTAAAATACATATATAATTATTTCACTATTTACATTTACATTTCATGATCCTGCATTGCAGTGATTCATGAATTACTTAAAACTGTCAAACTGACCCATCAAAGTCAGTGGGCGGGGCTAACGCGAATCTAGTCTGATCCATTGCTTTGGTCTGAAGTAGAGTAGGCCAACCTGGATAGAAACAATGGAGGATCTCCGTGAACTTTCCAGGGAGTTGGTTAGAGACATTTTAAACTTAGCAGAGGATGTAGAAGCAGGACCTGCTGACCCAGAGCATGTAGCTAGTAAAGCAGAGGAACTTATTGAAGTTGTTGGAGTCATTTCCGCACTTTCCGACGAAGATATCGACCACAGAGTGATTGCAAATCTAGAAGAAGTTGTCCACCGCTTCTCTGGTACCAGGGCACTTCAGGCCCAACACACACAGGGACCGGGGCGTTTGGCGTTTGACATACCGAGTGCAGTTCTGGAGCATTAACTTCTTTGTGGAGTTCCCGCAGTTCAAATTTGCAGCGATGTTCGGTGTGTCAAAGAGGACCATCAGGAGGCGCATGCAACAATACAGTTTAAGGTATTTACACTAAATTCATGAGTTTTCTGTTTATGAATTGCTGCTCTCATACACTCGGAAAGAATATGACGTTTAAGGTAACATTACTTGATGTTGTGTTTTTCTTGTTTGTACAGAAAGACAGATCTCTATTCAGCTGTGAATGATGAGGAGTTAGACCGTATTGTAAGTGAAATTCACAGAAGTCATCCAAACACCGGCTACAAGCTAATGCGTGGTCACCTGAATGCAAGAGGTGTGCATGTTCCAAGTGAGTAGATAATAATATGGGCATTATTTAAATGTATTTTTAATTTGGAGCTCTGCCCCTTTGAAAGGTGAAGGAAGCCCGCTTATGGAAAGACATCAACCTGTGAGCTGTAGTTTCTACAGTGCATACTATGCAAAGCTGTATTATTTTAAAAAAACTGAATAAGTAACATTTCATTTCTCACTGCCTTGGTGACCAAAAATAACAATCTTGTGTAAGGACATGTCAAACTAGTTTTAAGTACAAGACTGATTATGCTTGTCATCCATTCAGGTTCCTGAAGAATATGGGATCGATTGGAACGGACCTCACTGCCTTCATCGAGGCACTGTGTCAGTCCCCGAGGTTCAGCTGGCCCGTGAGCTCTCAGATGAAGAGGTTGCAATTTTGCCAGCTCCAGGAGTTTCTGTTACTGATGCACTTAGACTATATGTAGAGACTGTGGAAGTGTTATCAAGAATCTTAGACTGATGTCCAACCCATGTTTTTATTTGTTGTGTTAGAACAAGCAAGGAAAAACTGAAAGTTTACTTTCCTTTTAAAAGAAAGGAAAAAAAGCTGTTTCTTTGAAGCTTCCTGTCTCATTATGGTCCACAGAATGACTAACATGAATGCTGTACTGTTAGCACTGAAGGTGCAGAACAGTTTGATTTTAGTAAATGGAAGAAAAAAAAGTCAACTACTGCACAGTGTGTTAATGTTTTCAAAGACACTGAACTTGTGTCAATTCATCTGAACTGTGTATGCATTGACATTAGGGCTGGGCAATATGGAGAAAATCAAATATCACATTTTTGACCTAACACCTTGATGTCGATATTGCAACGATATTGTAAGGTTGACAATTGGTGCATTCACAAAATATCTTCCACATTTAGATTTCGGATAAATAACTATCATATTGTGGATATAATGACTAAGTGGTAAAAGGCAAATAATAGAACAGCTAGAACAGTCTGGTAAGTTCAGAAAATGACATCACTTTACTGTAATGCAGCCTTTGAAACCAGGAAAAGACTAAACTTACCATGTAACGATATTACACTTCTTCAAAATCTAATGGTGCTTTTCCATTACATGGTACCTACTCGCCTCGTCCTAAAATCTGCAATGGGAAACGGACGCACAGCGAGTCGAGGCGAGGCGAGTCAAGTAGGTACTGGTAATGGAAAAGCACCTTAAGACGATATCTAGTCTTATATCACGATAGATATAATATTAAAATATTGCCCAGCCCTAATTGACGTCTGAAAAAACTTAAACAAGCCCAAATCCAGTACTTTTTATGGCAGCGACAAGTGCTTTCTCAAAGTCCATGTAGAGTTTGAAATGAGCTGGCAGCTTTAGGGTTTCAAAGCATGTGGAGGACGTAGGAAGGGTTCCCCCAGAAATCTCCACTCTCAGTTCAGGAGGAAGCATCTCCCAGCCAACCCAGAATGTCAGCAGCTGGGCCAGGGTACCTGATGAAGCTAAAAGTCATAAAATGGATTAAAGACATTTAGTTCAACTGTAATTGATCATATCTATCCATGAGACATAGAAGCATTTGTAAAGAGAGAAAATAAGGTTTATACCTGTTTCAATGAACATCCTTAGAAAGCCAGTGATGCGGCAGGTGGTGTCAAAGTCTTCATCATCACTGTCCTCAACTGGCCATGTGATTTTTTCTAGGAGCATCTTAAAGAAAACAAAAATTGTAATTTAAAAAAAGGGAGAACTTATTTTGGTGAAGGACTATGCAGATCAAAATCTTAGAAAATTGAAAAATATCCATCTCAGTCATTGAAAATACACGTAAATTCATCAAGTTAAGTCACAAATATAACTAAATTACTGACTTACCTGGGGTGTGAACTGCATTTCAGCCATTTTGGGGAAAAGAAGTGGTACAACATCCGGCCTAGATGTCAGCAGGGGCCATACCATCACATCTTTCAGTCCCTTTCTCAACTGTTTAATTTGGCGCATGGTCCTCCCAACGACCTAAGAGACAGACCGACCCATATTACAGCCCAAATCCTTAACCCAAATTTGACAAAAGTTGGCACAGTAGGAAAAATGTTAATAAACACAATAAAGTGCTTTATAAAAATCCATTAAAACTCTAGTACTTAAACTCTCGTGTTAACATAACAAGCCAGGGTTCACAACACATTCTATAATTTCAACAAGTACAGCGATGAATTCTGTCACTTAACCAGCAGGAACTCACTGCATGGAGTAGAAGTTTGTTATGTAGCCATCTCCGATTTGTTTTGGTGACTGCCGGAAGATCCCAAGACATGGAAAGATCTGAAACTGTGTCCTTCTGTTCCGGTGTAAGATCTTCATGTTCAAGCTAGAATTAAGACCATACAAGTTATTATATCTGCCCAAGCAATATTTTTTACATGGCAAAGTTTCTTTTAGGTTACATACCAGTTCTATGATGCTCCTGATGTGCAGATCAGGGCAGTCTTCTGTAACAACGGTAGCCATTTCAGGGTCCCCATTGAACAGTACATGAATTACAGCAGGACTTAGTCCTGTGACATGGGGACCATCATGCAGAAAGGTGTGGCCCAACATCCTTCCTGCAACCCGGAAGAGGTTGCTTTCAATAAGTGCCTCTGATGCTGCTGGAACAAGATGGTCAGGTTCACCCTCAAATAGCAGTGTTTGGCCCATTCCTCCTGTAAAGTACCAAGAGAGCAGGGAATAAAGTCACAACAATTAACCTCTTAAATACATTAAATAAAAATGTATGATAGATAGATAGATAGATAGATAGATAGATAGATAGATAGATAGATAGATAACATCATACTAGTGGCGATTACTTGGCCTGTGGTATTGCTGCTTGTAGAATTCACTTAAACCAAATTGTAGCCTACTCCAAAATGACTTACAGAAGGACCCCAAACCACTTCAAATTCAATTCCCCTGTATACCCTACTACAGACTTACCTGACACAAAACATTGCCCACCGGCCCTCCGCTAAACAGCACATATCCGCGTTCATCAACCACCAGAACGTACGTGTACGCGTGTGTGTGTGTGCGCGCGCATAGAGAGAGGCGGTGTAGAGTGAGTCACGACACAAACAGGTGCTCAGTCAGCGTTGCATGCAGTGTGAGAATGGCAAGCAGCAAGAGCGGCAAAAGCCAATGTGTGCTTCTTTTACCTATATATGTAACGCTATCTTTTGCGTTTATCCAAACGTCGTCAAACTTGGCACTGCACTTACTCGTGACCAGAGCAAGACACCTGTCAAGTTTGAAATCCATCGGACTAACTGAGAGACATGCGCTACAGACAGACATTTCTGCAATTTATAGATGGATTAACCTTCAAAAAATTAGTAAGATACTTACCAAGATCTAGACTGAATCCAAACTGGAGTTTGGATATGATTGTTGTCATAAAGTACCGCATCACTCCCTCTCCGATAGCAACATCACCTGAAATAAAATACTGATAATAACACTGGAAAAAAAGTGGCGGCCTAATACAGGTAACTGGATTTGGTAACATTTAACAAGAAAGGGAGAAAAACTTCTATTGGCTGTAATTCTAGAATAGCATCCTTAATA